TTGCAAACCTCTGAACCTTTTCCAGTTTCATTATATGTTTCTTCAGATGGGGACTCCATGATGAGGCGGCATACTCTAAGACTGGCCTTACGTAGGCAGTGTAAAGCGCCCTAAATGCCTCCTTACTTAGGTTTCTGAATGATGTTCTAACTTTTGCCAGTGTAGAGTACGCTGCTGTCGTTATCCTATTAATATGTGCCTCAGGAGATAGATTAGGTGTTACGTCCACCCCCAGGTCTCTTTCACGCGTCGTTACAGGTAGGCTGTTCCCCTTCATTGTGTACTGTCCCTTTGGTCTCCTATCTCCTAGTCCCATTTCCATAACTTTACATTTGCTCGTGTTGAATTCTAGTAGCCATTTCTCTGACCATCTCTGCAATCTGTTCAGGTCCTCTTGGAGGATCCTGCAATCCTCATCTGTCACAACTCTTCTCATCAACTTTGCATCATCCGCAAACATCGACATGTAGGACTCTACGCCTGTAAACATGTCGTTAACATATACAAGAAATAGAATTGGTCCCAGCACCGATCCTTGTGGTACTCCACTTGTTACTGTTCGCCAGTCCGACTTCTCGCCCCTTACCGTAACTCTTTGGCTCCTTCCTGTTAGGTAGTTCCTTATCCATTCTAGGACCTTTCCCCCACCCCCGCCTGCCTCTCGAGCTTGAACAGCAGTCTCATGTGCGGTACTGTATCAAAGGCTTTTTGGCAGTCCAGAAATATGCAGTCTGCCCAACCATCTCTGTCCTGTCTTATCCTCGTTATTTTATCATAGAATTCCAGAAGGTTTGTTAGGCACGATTTCCCTGTCCAGAACCCATGTTGATGTTTGTTCACAAACCTAATGTTCTCCAGGTGTGCAACCAGTCGCAGCCTAATTATTCTTTCCAGTATTTTACAGGGGATGCTTGTCAGTGATACAGGTCTGTAGTTAAGTGCCTCCTCCCTATCTCCTTTCTTGAAGATCGGCACGACATTTGCCTTCTTCCAGCAACTGGGCAATTCTCCTGACATAAGTGACTCATTAAAGATCATTGCCAGAGGCACGCTGAGGGCCTGTGCTGCTTCTTTTAGTATCCACGGTGATACTTTGTCTGGTCCAACTGCTTTAGTTGCATCTAGAGTTGTCAACTGTTTCATTACCTCCTCTGCTGTCACCTCTATATCTGATAGTCTTTCATCTAGGGTAACCCCTTCCAACAATGGGAGCTGCTCAGGCTCGGTAGTGAACACTCCATGGAAACTGGCATTCAGTGCCTCGCAGATTTCGCAGTGCCTCGCAGTGTGTGTGTGTGTGTGTGTGTGTGTGTGTGTGTGTGTGTGTGTGTGTGTGTGTGTGTGTGTGTGTGTGTGTGTGTGTGTGTGACGGCGGCCCAGATTGTTCACCCTTAGTCTACTGGTCCTCGTCCCAACCTGGAAGGAGCGTGCAATGAGTGTCTTGTGATGAAGAATGATGACCCGGCGGATCACCAGACACCAGGGGATTCGACGCCACTAGTCATGCCTTGGAGACCCAACACACCAACCAGGGGTCTGCTGGAACACCAAATTCATGTGTCTGCTGGAATACAACACCATATACGTGTCTGCTGGAAAACGACAGTTAAGGTGGTGCGGGTATATTGCTAATTCTGACGCAGCCTCAGATATTTGGTCCCGAGGCAACCATCAAACACTCAACTCCAAAACGCTGAACATCAAACATTCAGCCCTCAAAGACTCAGATCTAAACATTCATCCCCTCAAACATTCAGGCACAAGGACTGAGCACTCGAACAAACGTGTGCTAGGAAATATGAACACAACTGGTTCTTTTGAAGAACATCAAGCACAAACCAGACACAGGTTCATATAAGAACATCTGACACAACACAACCATATTCACAGAAGTTACACGAGAACAGACGTTTAATGTTCTGGTCTTACATGTAAGACACATGTGATTTATATCAAACAGAAAGCAATTGGATGAAATACACAATACAATCAAACTAACGAGATATATCACTAAGAATATCCCCTGGAGTAGGACGACGTGATCGAACTAGTGTCTAACCAATACACTATAATACACAGTACATTACACAACCTGCAGGTCACCCAAACTTACTAGGGACTTGTATTAAGAACCAATTCGGTGCCTCCCAGTTCCTAGTAACCTCGGACGGACTCCAGGTTGTGTAACTTTGAGCATATAGTAATCCATGGGTCGAGGCGTGTATCTTGGATGACCCCAGGCAGCTCCTGCGATCCCTTCCATCCTAGACTTTATATCCAAGGAGGATATAAAGGACAATATCCAAGGACGCTCTGAATGAAGCATGCATCTTGGATAAACCCCAGGCAGCTCCTTCGATCCCTTCCATCCTTGACTATATATCCAATTTGATTACATATTTTGTCTGACCAAAATTTCCTCTCCTCGTGTCAGCTAATATTGGCAACTAAATGTCAGATCTGAACCACCGAGTAAGGAGCTGTGTGCAGGCGATGAGTCACAATAACGTGGCTAAATTATGTTGACCAAATCACACACTAGAAGGTGAAGGGACGAGGACGTTTCGGTCCGTCCTGGACCATTCTCAAGTCGACAATCGACTTGAGAATTTCGGTCCGTCCAGGACGGACCGAAACGTCGTCGTCCTTTCACCTTCTAATGTGTGGTTTGGTCAACAGGAGCTGTGTCCCGTAGAAATGCTTATGTAACTGGTGTTTTTGATGAGTAAACAGGTGATAACGTTGTGTTTACATTCTCAGCACGACTAATGTGTTGTCCACTCCCCATGAGTGTCGTGTGTGTGTGTGGCTCAGAAGCCTCCCAACTTCACTGTCAGGTAGGTCACGATCGGCTGCCATCTTCACTATCAGGTTGGTAATGGTCTGGGTGGTCAACAACCCTCGAGTTGGTAATAGTGCGTGGTACTCGCCCTCAGATTGGTCATGGTCCATGGTCCATGACCAATTTGTGGGGTCTCGGTGGTACAGTTGGCTTCGTTCTCAACTCACGTGTCATAACACAGGCTGACTAGCCCTCGCCCCCCCCCCCCTCCCCTTCCCCTCTTCCCCATGATAAAATTAATTATGAATTACATTCATATGTATAGCTAACATATGAATGTTAATTCATAATTCTATGACTGAAACAATCCAGTGATTCGACGTCAGTTATGTTACCCGGTAATATGTTTCATTAACCAACACCCCCCCCACCCCATTTCCAAACCGGTATTTACCCAGGTCTTTTCTGACTCTAAAGCTTATTAAATTTGCATGTATTGTTTCAAGTTCTATTATACATTGAAATGTTTACTGTAGCACAATTGGCCCCTCATTCACTTGGACTGGTCGGTAGAACAACAGGCTCTCGCTTCCAGGAATGCGTTCGTTGCTCGATTTGTCTAAAGTGATTGGGCACAGTTCCTTCACTGGACCCCCTATCCCAGCTCATATCCTCTCCTTATTCTATTACATCCAAGAATGGCGCTCGTTCGACGTCAATTCGACGTGCCTCTGAAACATTACATCCACTGGGACGTTCCTTGCAAGAGTTGTGTAGTCTCTTTAAGTCATAAAGTTACTCATTTGATCACCTACCAAAAGAAATGTATTTAACAAATATATTAAATTGTGCACAAATGTTTTGATGGATTGAAAACCAATTCGTTTTACGATTTACTTATTCAATTTAAATACAGATTATATTCTTACATATTATAGTCGGTATTGCCTGCACTGGTGTATATTGGAGTATACTTAATGACTGACAGATTCTCTAAGTGGGTATACTGAGGACTGGCACACTTTCTGGGTGATTGGCAGATTCGTTGAGTGAATTTAGTTAGGAAACTGGAAGATTTATTGAGTGAGTTTACGTTGTGATTGGAAGATTCTCCGAGGTAATTTACTGAATGAGTTGTAGACTCTCCGAGTGAGTTTATAGTTAGTTATTAGTAGACTCTTTGAATTTAGTTGGTGATTTGCAGACGCTCTGAATGAGTTTACTAAGTAATGACCAACTTCCTGAGTGAGTTTACTAAGTAATGGCTAACTTCCTGAGTGAGTTTACTAAGTAATGGCTAACTTCCTGAGTGAGTTTACTAAGTAATGGCCAACTTCCTGAGTGAGTTTACTAAGTAATGACAACTTATGTTGACCAAACATCAACTTGGTAATCGAAACCAAGTTATTCTATACTTTGGGAGGGGGGGGGGAGGCTACCCGATGTTGCCCCGGTTCTATGTGTCTCTTATCTCTTCTTATCTGTCTGTCTCTCTCTCTCTCTCTCTCTCTCTCTCTCTCTCTCTCTCTCTCTCTCTCTCTCTCTCTCTCTCTCTCTCTCTCTCTCTCTCTCTCTCTCTCTCTCTCTCTCTCTCTCTCTCTCTCTCTCTCTCTCTCTCTCGCTCTCTCTCTCTCTCTCTCTCTCTCTCTCTCTCTCTCTCTCTCTCTCTCTCTCTCTCTCTCTCTCTCTGTCTCTGTCTCTCTCTCTCTCTCTCTCTCTCTCTCTCTCTCTCTCTCTCTCTCTCTCTATCTATCTATCTCTCTAGCTATCTCTTAGTCCCCACCTCCTCCTCCTCCTCCCTCCTTCCTACCCCTCAAGATGCACTGAAATAAAACTATGGGTCTAAGATGTTTCGCTTGTCCTTTATCTTCTCTTAATTTGAGTAACAACTCCACGTTAATCACACGCCACATTTCACTTTTAACTACGAAAGATGCCATGAAAATGACCTAGAGTTATACAATTGTAAAAAAAAATAACATTAACAAAATTATAAAAAAAAATTATAATTGCTAATATTTCTTGTAGCAATTTAACTTCATAATAATAAGACATTCGTTCTTATAGGTCTAGATATTTGTTTACAAAAGTTCAGTGATTTCGTCCAGGACAGACATAATATCGTTTGTTATTCCTTCCAGGATGGACTACACACAGTTGACTAACGTGAGTGATTTCTTCCAGGACAGACATAATATCGTTTGTTATTCCTTCCAGGATGGACTACACAAGATTCTTGAACCCAGTGGCTCGCAGATATCAAGGATCCTTACTGCGGAGAATGTGTCAGTAGATTTGATTCCGTTATATAATAATATTAATAATAATAATAATAAGTATGATAATAATAATAATATTAGTGTTTTGCATAAAATACACTACAGTAGTATACATACAGTAGATTATAAATATAGTAGTTTAGATGTATTACCTACAGTTAACTAAATATAACTACTTTCAAATTTTTGAAGAATAAATCATTTCGGATGAAATTTTTAATTCTAGAATATTAGTGACTGAAATGCCCCTAAATCCTTTTTTTTCTAATTAGATCAAACAATGCTGTTGAATTTAAGACCAGTTTTGCTGATAAAATTGACATCTGGCAATATATATATACATTATGTGTTGCAAACTAATATATATTGCAACTTATAAACCAACCGGATAATTTGCATAATGATTGCAATTACAGACAAGGAGGAGAGGGACGCGATCTACATGAGTGGCGGGGTGCCCAATCCCGTGGCCTTCCCTCTCCAGAGTGCCTCCTTCAATCTGATTGGCGGTGGCAGCATCACTTTGGATCCCAAACTCATCACGGATGCCCAACAATACGGCCATTCCAACGGGTAAGCCTCACTGCAGTTCCAAAAGGGAAGCCTAACTCCCTCTTCCTCCAGTTGCCACTCTACTCGTCCTCCCCATTACCCTCCAGTACTACGACTCCAGGGAGTTTCATGTACTCCAGGTATCACTCCACACGCTTCACCTTTTTACCAAATAATTCAAAATAGCAAAGTTGATAAATAGCATTATACAAATCCTAAAAGAACAACATTCCGATTTAATTTAAAAAAAACGTAAACACCGAGTTCGCTTAACCCTTAGGCTGCTACAAACGTTAATCGACGTATAGTGGTTCTCAAGATCACAGTGCAACTAACGTTAATTAACATTTAACACTGCAGTAAGGTGACAGAAATTGGCTTATGAATATAAATTCAGTTATAAATGTATAAATTTCATATAAATGTATTTTGAAACGTTTATTTTGAAACGTTTTGGTACTTACGGCACCATTGTGGGGATAATTGATGACCGAGATAAAGAATTTCAGCATATTTCGTATTTACTTTGCCGTTTCTCTCATTTTCATTAGATGGTAAATAAAATTAAGAGATAGCTACTTATCTCAATTTCATGATATTGATATCAGAATTTAATTAATATGCAATTCTTCATAGTATATTCAAGGTAGTTGACGTAAACAAAATTCTTTTTTTTTAATTCGATCCCAAAATGTTAACTTCCATTTGCAAAGGACAACTGCACATAATTATTTTTTTCCTGATGGTTTTTGAATTTGTACAAATATAGTTCTCATTTCTAGATTAATCTCAGTCCAAGGATTAATCATTTTGTGCTATGTTAATCCTTTTCTTCCTACGTGTGCCTTTTAATGTGGAAAATCCAATAGAGCCGTGTTGGAGCTATTATACGTTGGCGAACTGCATGATATAATACATTACTTAATGTATCAAACTTCATTGCTTTGCACTTGCTTGAATTACTCTCTAGTAGGCACGTGTTGGACCGTTCCTTTCAGTTTGTGTAGGTAATCCCATATTTTCCAACAGAATTTCACTGTATTTATATACAGTGTAAACGAGACAATATATCCATTCTGTGGTGAGAATTCATTTATGTGAACGATTTTGATGTGCATGATCGTGAATGATTATAAGCATATACAAACTGAAATGTTTAATAAAACCTTAAGATACATCAGAGGATCTGTTTATATCTCTCTACTAAACGATCTCTTGTCTACAAAGCCAAGTCTTAAAACAAGAATTTTAAACCAAAAATGTAAAGTCTTAAAACAAGAATTTTAAACCAGAAGAAAAACATAGAATTGAACCGTATAGATAAAACAGTAATTAGAGAAGAATATCAGGCAATAATGATGTGTACACAAACCTTTCTCTTTCTCTCTCTCTTTGAAGGTACGACCCGTTGGTGAAGCAGCTAAAGTCACTCATCCATAGGATACACTCTCCTCCTTGCTGGGAGAACACGGATCTCCTGGTGACTCCTGGTGGTCAGAACGGACTGGCTACCTTCATTGAGATGATGACCTGCCCCGGTGATTACGTTATCGCCCAAAATCCCGTCTACAGTGGCGTAATTTCTTTGGTGAGTTCAACTCTAGGTTCCACTTGTGATGGACGGTAGAGCGACGGTAGAGCTTCATGCAGGTCGGTGTTCAACCCCCTTGAACGGCCACAAGTGGGTTGGGTAGCATTCATTTCCCCCCCCCCCCCCGTCCCATCTCAAATCCTTATCCTGATCCTTTACGAGTGATATATAGGCGTAATGGCTTGGTGCTTCCTCCTCGTAGTTCCCTTCCCTTCTGTGTTCTGAGCTGTGGCTTGGGCTTAAGCTCTGCAAATTTATTTAAATTCAGGGTATAATTTCATGGTGTAAGTTTGTTTTTTGGGGGAATATAAGCCTCACCGCTCCGTTTCTTTTTATGTTCTGGTTGCAATGGTGTACATATTGCTAGTACGTACTAGCATCTAATAGATAAAATGCTAGTAAGTATTGCAACAATTTGGTGCAATCTACCAATCTGTACTGTTGAATCCACCCAAAAAATTACTTATTGTACTATTAATTTTGTAGGAGGTGGAAACAAATCCAAACCAAAATATTCCTAGGTAGTACACAAATGTAGTACACAAATGTACTATTATGGTCCTAAGATTAAGGATTAATATTTTTTCTTAGGATATTAGGCCTAGGATTGCTTGGAGACGCTAGGCATTTTGTGTAATTGTTAAAATAAATCGAATGCCAGTTGGGGTATTTCAGTAGAACAAAACGTAAAGTTTTGGAGTGAACATTGCATATTGGTACGTTTGACCAACTGTCTGCAATAAACTACAATTTTAGGAGGATGAGTTGCATGACTAACCATGGCAAATGGGAGGAACCTTTGACAAGCCACCGGCTTCCTGTCCTCGTCGAGGCCACTAGGGTTAGTGACCCCTCAGGTAAATCAGGTTTAAAGATGAGATAGAGGAAATTAACATGGAGCTACTAGTGCCAGTGTCAATATTAGTGACGTCAGTACTAGTAATTGATTTTTATTTTGAAATACATTACTTTGTGTTTATTGATGTTGAAGTCGAGTGGCCACTTTTGGCCACAATAAGAGTGGCCATCTTATTGCAGTTCTCTGCACTCTCTCTTAAAGGTTCTTATCTGCAAACTCCACAACAGGATTAATATTCCTATGAAGGTTTGTACACGTTTCAAACCAACACAATTCTCAGTACTGACCCTTGAGGGACGCTGCTTGTTGCTCTTACCTTCTTATGTTTTATTATTTTATTCAGCTTGAACACTTGTGCAGTCTGGCGCCTCTACTATATCTTTGACTTTTCACTAAATGCACTTTAGGGAAACAGTCCCTTCTATTCCTTCGTAATAGACGTACTTGTATGTTCCTTGGTTTTCTTTCTTATTTTTTCCTATTTTACCATTTTCATTTCTACTAGATATTTTAACAGGAATACAGGTGGCACAAACTTATAATGGATGAATAATCTACGATTCGTTATTATTAGGTCTAAGAAGCCCGACTCCTCTCAAACAATGGAGGTTCATTTCCATTCGTAGGGTGTTCAGTAATACCTGAATTTACCTGAGAACCATTAATACTCTAGTGGTCTCGATGAGAACAGGAAGGTGGGTGGTTGTCTAAGGTCCCTCCATTTGTCCTGATGATTTTTTTCAAACAGGAATTTAAAATTCAGCAGTGTTTTAGTATTTCGCCTTCTGCGGGTAGGCGGTTCCATGATTTTATAACACTATGGGTGAAAAAGCATCTCCTGTTTTCTGTCCTACATTGTGGTGTATATAGCTTGAAACCGTTCCTCCTTGTTTGTGTTACATTTGACCTTTTGAAGAAGTTCTCGGTATCATTGTTCCAAATGATTCCGTTAGCAAATTGTTCAGTATTTTGGAGGTCATTGATCCAGACAATTTCTTCAAAAGATCTTTATTAACTTTGCTTTCTCCCTACCTCTTGAGGGGTTTCTTTTTTCCCAGTTTATTTCTTGCTGGTTGAAGTTACCCATTATTAACATTATGTTATTTTTGGGATGTTGTTACTATTGTATAAAGCTAACGTCAACACTCCTGTTGTTATTACCACTTGAGTTACAGCCAGAAAATCCATGACCGTATGAGGTATCCACTTTTCATTTCTCCTTCATTAGGAGTGCTTTTCCACGTCCATATATTTCAGGCCTGTTGCTTCGTATCACTTGGTATCCTCTTGATTATATTGCCTCCATTATTAATGCCACTATTTTATTGGTACCATGATTACTAATTATGTCAAAAGGCTGGAATACTTTACACTTTCATTAAATTCATTTGTATTGTTGCTGATTCCATCTTCATTTATGTCAACTTGAAGAGTAACTTTAGAATTCTTGCGTGGGAGCTCGCACTTCTGATCATTGGTGAATAGATTGCAGTCAGTAGTAAATGATGGAGTGGGAAGGTTAAGGGGGCAAAAGTAGGTGTAAAATAATTTAGTGCGGCGTATAGTTTCAGCCATACCTCCCGAAGTGGCTGACTGTTGAGAGCGACAATGATGGCATGATTCCCGACTCCCTGAGAAGTGCTCTCTCTCGCTGGAAGCCGGAAGATATGTACCACAACGATGATGGATTACCAAAGGTTAGATGTAGTGCTGATGGTGACCTGTGCTACTTGAAAAGTGCCTGTACTGTACCTTTTGTTACAATAACGTTAAAAACCATAAAATTAGTGTAAGCATCTATGGAACTTTCTCCGTAAGAACATAAACAGAACCAAAACAGATGAAATGCGGCGACGCTGCAATTTACCTTACGACCCTTACGGATTGTGACCGGGATTTACGAAGCATTTGTACAACGACTTACGAAACCTACGTATCTTTCGTTAATCGTGGTGGCTTCGTTTACATTTATTAGTTTGTGCTCTGAAACTAAAAGGAGGCTGTTAATAATAACCTCGAATTGTGAGGTTCCGAAGCTCGTAAACTGTTTAATAAATGTAAACAAAGTTTAAGGCGTGATTAAGGAAAGATAGGCTTCGGAAAAAATGTAAACAAATATGATGTGATTAAGGAGAGATAGGCTTCAGAAAAATGTAAACAAAGCTGGCGTGACTAAGGAAAAATAGAAAGATAGGATAGGAAAGATGTATAGGCTTCGTAAGTGGTTGTGTAAACGCTTAATGAATCCTGGCCCCTGAGCGGAAATGGGTCGGTTCTGTTGCATATGAGTGGGTTGTGCTCTTTGTTTCAGCCACGATATTGTGTCTTAATTATTCTCTGCATAAAAGAATGGTACGTTATTCAGCATCTAGAATCATTATACTTCCCCTGCCTCATTTTCTCCCACTTGCGAGTACTTTATACCTCACAGTTAATGAGGACTATCAAATAACATAATTTGGTAATTATTCTTGTTTTAAAATCTATAATTTTATTGCAGTGGAATTCATTATAATTTAACAGCAGTTTTTTTTTTTTAAGATTTTTGTCTCAAACTTGTCTTGATAGAAAGGTTTAAAAAGATCTTAATCACTTTTTTGTAATCCAGTAACACTATGCACAGAGTGGTGTGTGTTGCAGGATCAAGCAAGCCTCCATCAACTATCAGGTTGTGTTGTACCATAGCTTACATACGCTACAGAGGCTACAGACAAGCCTACGATAAATACGAAATTGTGTTGCTAACTGAACCTACGTCCACTACCAGATTGAGTTGCAACCCAAAGTCACGTTCTCTTACAGTTGCTCTACATAACGCCAACTGGCTCCAACCCGACCGGTACTGTGGTCAGCGAGACGAGAAGAAGAGAAATCTACGCCATTGCCTGCCAGTACAACCTGCTTATTCTCGAGGACGACCCTTACTACTTCTTAAACTTTGCTGATGATCAGGCGAGTCGTGCTAGTGCCCTTGTGTGCGGTGGTAGAGTAGGTAATGGTGGTGGTGGTTGTGGGGGTGGTGGGGGTGGTTATGGGTGCTGTAAGCATAGGGGGTTATGGTGATTGAGGGAAGTTGGGCACCAACCAACGCATAGAAAATATGGATGTTTGTGAGCCGCAACTTTTCATAGTACTCCTTATTTTGTCCGTTGGAGAATCATACCGTGCACAATGAGGTGCAGTATTTGAGAAGAGAGACTGGAATAGTGGTTAAGGTGGTGGGTGGTTTAATGGTGGTTGTGGGATGTGGTGGTGGTGGTAGTTAGCAACGGTGTGTGTTAATGACAGGCAGAGCAGAAGGTGGTGATGGGGTAGTTTTGGTGGTGCTGGTGGTAGTATAGATAGTGAAGATAGAGATGACGAATGATGTATTCCAGTGCTTACCTATCAGTGACTAGGGAGAATGAAGTCTAGTTCATTAGACAGACAGACAGACAGACAGAGATGCAGCCTTCAACGAGATGTGTTTGTTTTCCTAGGTGGCGCCACCCTCGTACCTGAGCTTGGACACGGAGGGACGCGTGGTGCGCTTCGACTCCATGTCCAAGATCCTGGGGCCTGGCTACCGTGTGGGGTACGTCACGGGCCCCAACTTCCTCGTCGACAAACTCCTCAACCATCAGCAGACCTCCACCTTCCATGCCTCTGTCTTAGCCCAGGTGTGTTGATGTCGGATGTGTGGGTAGTGGTTTGATCATCGCGTTGCTTGGGTGCTGAAGGTGTCATCAAGGTGTTGCAGGTGTGATACAAATGTTTCTGGTGTTGCACAGGTGGTGTTGAGCGAGGTGCTGAGGACATGGGGAGAGGAAGGGTTTCTTGCTCACGGCCAGAGAACGATGAAGTTTTACCGTGCCCAGAGGGACGTTATTCTCAAGGCGGTCGAGAAGCACCTCAAGGGTGAGTCGTGCTCGAGCAGTAACTGTGTTTGGTGTTACATGGGCTTAAGGACTATTAGCCTCTGGAGGATTATTGAAGCCTATCACCCTTTTGATAGGGTATTATGGCCTATCATCCTCTGGAGGGTTATTATTAATGCCACCTCAATAGCTTACTGACCAACAAAGAAGTATACTTTAATCTTAAACATAGCCCAGGACTAAAGAAAATTTTCAGTGAATATACACCAAGAAGGGAGTATAAGTGTATACTGTATATCCCTTAAGTAATTCCATTCATAATTATTGGTATATTTGGAATTTATTTACAAATTCAAGTACATTATTCATTTAAACAAGTGAAAATTAGCAAATATAGTCAGTTTTTTTAATACATTCTCTTGTTAATAATTCTGCCTGATTTCGTAATTCGTGTAAATGATTCTTTACAATATAAATATATGCTTGCGTTAGTATTATCAGATATTATCTTGATAAGCATAGTTGTGTTTTATATCAGTCTCTACATAAAAATGAAAATATTTTAATATATATATATACAAATATATATATATATATATATATATATATATATATATATATATATATATATATATATATATATATATATATATATATATATATCCCCCTGAAGGATTCGAACCCTGACAGCCTGGGCTCCATGCCCCTTGGCGTGTCCAGTACTGTTACCACTAGGCTCCCTGACTGTACAAAAGAATTGGAAGTCATCTGACCCTTAACCCAATTCCCGACAGCACTCAGTGACCAATTGGGCACAGATATTTCATCAAATCACTTCATCATGCTGGGCATGGTTCAAGCTTGACGCACAAATGATATTCGAGTGGCCCAAGGATGAAGATGTGATATGATGAAATATCTGTGCTCAAAAAATCACCTAGCATGTTGGGGCAACGTGAGTAACACACATGTGAACAAACTTGAATGGTCCCCAAGCCAATATGCAACCGAAAACTCCTCACCTCTGAAGGATTTGAATCCAGACAGCCAGGGTAGGGTGTCTGGGTTACTCACGTGGCCCCAACGTGTAAGGTGATTCGGTGAAATCTGTCCCCAAATTGATCAACGAGTGCTGTCGGGAATTAGATTAAGGGTCTGACGACTTCCAATTATTTTAACATTTGTTGCGGCCTAGTGGTGAAAGTACTTGACACGCTAAGGTGTATGGAGCCCCTGGCTGTCTGGGTTCGAATCCTTCAGTTCGAATAACTATCTTATTTGCTGTTGACAGATTTATGTGAATGGGAGGTGCCGAAGGGCGGCATGTTTCTATGGGTCAAGGTTAGTACTTTGGGGAAGCAAGCTGAAGGCCAGTTAAGGTTAGTAATACTGAGACGCAATTAACAAAAGTTCAAAGTAGGTAGTTTGCTAGTTCCATGTAGGCAATTTGCTAGCACACGCCTTATATATTACCGGGCAATTTGTTCCTTGAATCATTTAATTTCAAATAATTTATTCATAAATGTTTGTATATTCATATTTCATCAATGTTTGTACTTTCACATTTAATAAATATTTGTACAGTCTTATTTCATAGATGTTTGTACATTCAGATTTCATAAATGTTTGTACATTCATATTTCATAAATGTTTATACATTCATATTTCATAAATGTTTGTACGTTCATATTTCATAAATGTTTATACATTTCTATTTCATAAATAATTGTACATTCTTGTTCACAGTCCGGTATTTATCAGAATCATATTTAAATTATAATGATTTTTCATTTCAATAATTAAGTTTATCAAGACTGCGTTTTAGTAATAGTTGCACCTCTAGTTCCTAGTTTTTATTGGTGAAAATAAAGTGTTTTTATTAAACAATTGATTAAAACGCCCAAAAAAATCCGTTTTAAACGCCAAAAACTTATCTATAATCCATCATAATATTAGTAAATGATGCTCTTAGATCCGTCAAATTGAATCTGATTTTCCACAAATGGCGAAATTTTACGCTCTTGGATTTTACCACGTATCTTATATTCTTCCACATACGTCAATGTGGAATGCTCTAAGTTCTCCATAACTTGTCCATGAACCTTTACTGACGTCAGTAAAGGCAGCTCTCAGATCATGCAACGTTTTTATAATCCTCACCAACACCAGAAAGCAATGCTCCTTAAATTTGGGAGGGTAGAAATAGGCTGAGCCAATGAGATGTATTTTATTGTCTCAATAAACGTACTTGTACTTGAATGTTCCTTAATCCCACAAGGTATCTATGATCCTCCACTAACGTGAATGCTTGAAACAGGTGAAGGGCGTCTCAGACACGACAGAGATGACCTTCAAGCGCGCTCTGGCCAGACAGGTCTCCGTGATGCCTGGGTCGGCCTTTATGGCTGACCGTACCAAGCCTTGTCCCTACATCAGGATCTCTTTCTCGTCTGCTACGCACCAGGAACTGGAAGAGGTAGGATATTTTATTGACATCAGGGGGTCTCGTAATACAGTTGGTTTGGTTCTCGATTCACAGCCGCGGGTCCTGGGTTCGAGTTGCCTCCCCCACAACTCCTTGTCTTAGAAATGGTTGTGTCCTTTCATCTAATGCTTTGTTCACTTAGCAGTAAATAGGTTCCTAGTAGTTAGGCAACTGTTGTGGGACATCATCCTGGGAGAAGTCAGTAGTTCGACCTTAGAGGGAACTCGATACAAGCCTAAACTATATATATACACAGGATTCCTATCTCCACAATGAATTAATTTTAAAAAAAAAAACTAAATGAGTTTTTGCCTAACCAGAGTGATTTAATTAAGTCGTATTACAGTGAGAATGATGTTTTATAACCAGTGCTGCAGGGTAGAATATAATTCATTAGACAATGAGTCTAATGTGGAGATAAGAACACATGTCTATCATTTGGTTACACTCTACAACATCAGGTATCGTACATGTTTTAATTTACGAATTTGTAAATAGTTGTGTGCTTAACTGCACAGAACTGTCAGAAAAGTCATAGAACTCAGTTGATTTGAGATTCTGAATATGACTATCAGGAGCTTCTAGTGTTATAGATCTCAAAGTCACAGTGTTACAGGTTTGTTTTAAACTGATGGGTGTATAATGTATAATACACGTCTTTTCCCAAGGGAAATGCAGTTCACAATTTTATCAGGATTAAGAGAGACATTAATTATATCAGGATTAAGAGAGACATTCAGTTTCATAAGATTATTGGCATAACAACTGAGCCACACACTGTAAAGAGTTATTATTTTTGTTGAGGATTGAAAGAAGAATCAGAGCTGTTTACAATGGATCTCAATTTAATTTGGGGGGCCATTATTTTTCACAGTTTGGGCACAAAAGTTAGTATTAAATTGAATTGTTCTTTCAAAAATAGAAGGTAGTCTTAGTTCCTTTCTCATGTTAACAATTTTTTAGTTCTAGGAGAACCTAGGCATCATTTTGCACCATATCTAGGTCTTGTAATTGTTTAGGAAAAACTACAAGGCCTAGATGTAGGACTTGTAATGTAGGCCTAGATGCATATAATAATTATATCAAGTTAATGCTAAATCCTTTGCCTACGAGAGTCTTGATATAACATATGATCCATATAATATAATACTGGAAGCATATAGGGTGTTTTAGCAAAGTAGTCTACACTTCCCCGGCTCACAATCGGGGTATCTGAGTTCAATCCCCGGGCAGGACAGAAACGGTTGTGCCCGTTTCCTTTCGTTTGGTACCTTTGTTCACCGTACTGTTAAACAGGTACCCGAGTGTCAAGCAACTGTTGTGGGGTTGCATCCTGGGGGAAGGTCAGTAATTGAGTTATTGTGATCTCAATAAGCCTAAGTACAGGCTTCCTGTCCTCCGACAGTAATAATATTTATTATTAAATGCCTCCTATGGGCCAATAGGCTTTGTTTAGTTTACGCCTTGTTCTTATGTACTACAACTTGATTTGTTAACATCATAGGACTGGCTTCCTGCAGGGTCGGAGTTCGATTCCCATCAGCCCGAGTCACTGCTCCTTCACTCTGGCTGCCTCCCCATTTGTGGGTATCTGTGGAAATCTTGTTTACACTATCGCCCTCCACCCTGGGTTTGGGAAAGAGGGAACCCAATAAAATATCCACCTAAAATAATATTTTAGGTTTCTTAAAGGCAGAAATCTAAAAATATAAAATACAAAAAAACTGCGGGGTTTAAAGCGATTAACTTGTCAACATGTTCTTTATTTGTTTGCACGAGGAAATATCATCGTTTTTTCCCGTTGTCGAGAATAAAAAGCATGTACTTAGGCTTATCGAAGTACTCTCTCCCCCCTTGGATAACTGTACTGACCCAGGATGCCATCCACAACAGTTGCCTAACTCCCGGGTGCATATTTACTGTTAAGTGAATAGTCGTGAAGTGAAAGGACGCTTGCCCAACCGTTTATGTCCCTCTCAGGGATTGCAGAACCCGGGTCCCGCGAGTGTGAGTCGAGGACCTAGACCACTGTGCTAACTCACTACCCTCTTCTCTCTTGGACAGTATTTGCATTCATTTGGACACTAATAATAAATAAAATGTTGATTTTTTTAAGAAGTAAAATTACGCGTTTTCGCAAATTTTTCACATTTCTTCATTAAACTCGTCGTGTTATTTTACACTTTCTCTTTCCACAGGGGGTTCGGAGACTCGCTCTGGCCATTAGAGACGAGCTGAAACTACAGAGCACTGACGAGCAGGGAAAACAGCAGTAAAGCCAAGTTCAAGTATGTTTATTGAGACAAGAAAGAAATGCATCTCAAAGGGATAGAGTAGCTTAGGCTATTTCTACCCCCCACCCTCCATTAGCAGTAAAGCCACTTCTGGTTCCTCCCAACTCGTTCTTCGGGATGTGCTCGTTCCAACTCCAGCCCATCACAAGGAATCAATGGTTATGTTTTTACGGAATCGACAAAGACTGTTTCCTCAAACATAAATGAATATATCAGAGTTTAGTATATAGTCGGGACTATGATTAGGTGTTTTGATTCCGTTGGTAATTATTTTGTCCTCAGGCTATGTTCATTCCATCCAGCGGCCGATCCCAAGGACATATTCATCAACTTTAACATGCTGTTCATGCAAATTAAAAAATTTCCCACATATAAATTTGTATTATTATATAATGGAAAATTGTGTATGTTTAAGTTAAGTTAGGAGTTTAGGGTCTGTTGGCAATTAATTGTATTTGTAATACGTGGTTGATGCATTTACCAACCCGTCCTCAGACCAAGTCAATTCCATCCAGTGGTCGACCCCAAAACCCAATCATCAATTTGAACATGTTGTTCCTTCACAATAAAAATTTTCTCAAATATAAATTAATATTGTATAATTTTAGCATACTATGCATATTTAGGCACTGGTTTGGTTAGGTTAGGTGATTAGGTTCTGTTGGCGATTATTTGTGTTGCAACCCATCCTCGACTCAAGTCCATTACATCCAGCGGTCGACCCCACAGACGCATTCATAAATTTTTACATGCTGTTCATTCAAAACGGGAATTTTCTCATATATAAATTAATAATATAATATATTAGCATATTGTGCATATGTAGGCATAGGCATAGGTTAGGTTAGGTGTTTAGGTTCTGTTGGCGATTATTTGTATTTGTAGTACGTGGGTGAAGCATTTATAGCGTTGTGATTCGAACAAAATTCGTCAGTGAAACACATGTTCCGGATATGTTCGAACGTCAGCAGTTGTGAGTCGTGTGTAAACCGCTTTTCATTCATAAACAGGGGGTTTGGCGGGTGCATGGAATCACTTTTGGATCTTTGTTTGGAGGACGGGCTGTTTATAGCGTTGTGGTTCGAACAAAATTCGTCAGTGAAGCACTTGTTCCGGAAGTGTTCGAACGTCATCAGTTGTGAATCGTGTGTAAACCATTTTTCATTCATAAACAGGGGGTTTGGCGGGTGCATGGAATGGACCTTGGCCTTTGTTTATGTTCATGTTCATGTTTTTGCAAATGTCACTCCTATTTTCAAAAACGGCGGAAAGAGCTAGGCAGAAACTACCGTCCGATCAGCTTGACATCACACACCTGTAAGTTCATGGAGAGAATCCTAAAGGAAGGAATCATTCAACATCTCACAGAGAACAATCTTGTAAACTCAACGCAACATGGGGTTGTTAAAAATAGATCCTGCAATACTAACCTGCTCACATTTCTGGAAACGGATACCGTCTATTCAGACAAAGGACTTCCGGTAGATGTAGCTTACGTGGACATTGCTGAATCTTTTGATACGTACCACATGAAAGACTAGCAAGTAAATTACAGGTACATGAAATAAATGGGAGAATACTGGAATGGGTAAAACAACGATTAAAACAAAGACAACAAAGGGTTGTGCTAAATGGGAATGAATCTGATTGGGGGAAATGTGGTGAGTGGGGTGCCACAGGGGTCCGTTTTGGGGCCAACCCATTTTGTCATATACATCAATGACATAGATGAGAATATTACAAACTATATCATCAAATTTGCAGATGACACTTAAGATCTATGGTAAAGTGGGAAGGGAAAATGATATTGAGACCTTACAGAGAGATTTATATGAATTCGACAAATGGTAAGAGGAATTTCAAATGCTTTTTAATGTCGATAAATGCAAAATCTTTCATGTGGGGCAAAACAATCCACGTCACACCTACCAAATTAACAGCACTACCCTACAACAGATTGATGAATAAAAGGACCATGGAGTCAGAGTCCATCATTCATTGAAAATTGCACAAGTGACAGCGGCAGTAAAAGAAAAAAGCTAACCAAACCCTGGAAATAATCAAGCGAATCTTTACCTTTGGGGAAAAGAAAATAATCATTCAATATAAATCTCTGGTGCGCCCCACCTGGATTATTGCATACAGGCATGGAGACCTTATCTTCAGAAAGACATAACTACTCTGGAGAAGGTGCAACACCGGGCAACAAAAATCATTCCAGAGCTAAGTAATCTCTCGTATCAGGAGAGGTTGAAGACCACAGGGCTAACAACACTGCAAACCAGGCATGACAGGGCGGATCTCATCGAACCGTAAATATACTGAACAATTTAGAGAATGTTGTTCCGGAAAATTTATTCAAAAGGTGAGATGTAAGACGAACGAGGAGCAACGGTTTCAAGCTCAACAAGCCACAATGTAGGACTGAGAACAGGAGATGCTTTTTCAGGGGTATAAACCCATGGAACCGCCTACCCGCCGAAGCTGTAAACACCAAGCTTCTGTTGGGTATTAAAATACAACTTGAAAAGATTCTCAGGGCAATTGAGGGGGGGGGACCTTAGACAAGCCACCGGCTTCCTGTCCTCATCGAGGTCACTAATATTAGTAACTATCAGGTAAATTCACATGGGCTCTAGGAGCCTAGAACCGCAAACCCCACGAGTGTGAGGCCGAAGATCTATTGTCTGGGTTATTGAGTAGTTTTAATAAGGATAAAAATAAATAATAACAATAATATTAATTTCATTTTCCTGGGCCCTAGGAGAGTCGAACCACGGATCCCACGCGTGTAAGGCAGAGGCTCTATCCATTCAACTATGAGTAGTCTTAATAAAAATAGATTCCAGAAGCAACTACGACTGCCCAGCTGGAATTTTCAACTTTCCCCGACTATTAGTTAAGCTCAGAGGAATTAGTGATCCACGCCCGCGTCACGTGGAAATAAACATTTAATGTTTATTTCCACGGAAGTGTGGATCACAATTTAATAATAATAATAATAATAATAATAATAATAATAATAATAATAATAATAATAATAATAATAATAATAATAATAATAATAATAATAATAATAATAATAATAATGTAGGCATCCATCAGTCTCAGGAGACTATGGAGTTGCGCTCTGGTTGTCGGTCTGGAGTGGCCTCACCAAGGCGCAAGGCCAGGGTAGGTTGATTCGGGGAAGAAGCTGTTACCCAGGCAGCAGGTTCCTCCTCTCCACGGCGCTGATTAATAATAATAATAATAATAATAATAATAATAATAATAATAATAATAATAATAATAATAATAATGCCGAAACATTGCTGCAGTTTAAAATCCAGCTCAGTAAAATCATTAGGACTTTGACAAGCCACCGGCTTCCTGTCCTCGTCGAGACCACTAGTGACATTGTGGGCCACTCGAGTAAATTCAGGAAAAATCAGGTTGAATTTAGCGGGTAAAGGGTTGGGCGAGGACACACCTCCTTCTCCACCAATCACTTCGCAGCATTGCTTGCCAAGGGGCCTCCGCTGCTGCTGTGCCAAACGTAAGTATTATATAAAGCTTTTGCCTTATTTCTTTTCATAAATAATATTAATACCTAACCTTTGGTATATAATATATAGTATAAAAGATTTACAACACATTAAATTATATTATAAAGATATGAAAAAGATAAAATATTATGATAATTTTTTGATGTGACTTTAATTGTTTACAGTGCGTTCTACAGCAGGCACCCTGAGAATCAGCTGTTGTCGGCGGGAGGCGGAGGCACTTACTGGCACTTACTGGCACTCACTACTTGTTGCAATGGCGACCACACGGCTTCTTCAGTCCTTTAAGGTACTGTGAATACTAAATGCATCACTTTGTTATTATTCATTTTTATTCTGCAATGTAGTCGAGGTGAAGAGGCATCCTGTAGCTCAGTAGTTTACGTCCTCGGCTTACACTCGAGCGAGCCGGGTTCAACAGGACAGAAGTGGTTAGGCACGTTCTCTTTCACCTGATACCTCTGTTCACCTAGCAATCAACAGGTACCAGGGAGTTAGGCAATTGTTGGCATCCTGAGGGAAGGTCTGTAGTTTTTCACTTTTTGCCTTAAAATTGCACTGTATCTATTGCTACCCAATCTCCCAACCTTTATGTTCCCAATTTGAACATCTTTACCATTGTGATCATTGCTGTCTTATATGTGCTGCCATTCTGCTGTATGGTGTTTATAAATCTTGTTTTTCTGTATCTTTTGCTACCCAGTCTCCCAATCTTTATGTACCCAATTTGAACATCTTTACCATTGTGATCATTGCTGTCTTATATGTGCTGTCAATCTGCTGTATGGTGTCTATTTATCTTGTTTAAATTACTAATCAAGCTGTCAATGTAATCAATCAGAGCTTTAATATAACAATGTGCTTTAATATACTTACTAAGCTCTCTCATCTTATTTTTCTCTTGCAATGTATCTTTATCATCTATCAATTCTGATAGAAATTACCTACTTAAAATTATCTGCTAGATTAAGAACCTGCCCGAAACGCTGCGTGTACTAGTGGCTTTACAAGAATGTAAATACTGTACTATCCAATGTATTCTCACAAACCCAATGTACCTTCTTGTATATATATAAATAAATAAATAAATAAATAAATAATTAGTTGGCTTGACCCTGACATTAAAAATCATTAAAACCTCTTCTGTGTTAGGCCTATATAATGTGTTTCAACAATCTATGGTGATAACCTTTTGCTATTAAAGAAAATGTGTTGGATATCTGTGGTAAGTCTTCTTGGTAATACTGTATATATATTCTTTTTTGCTTAATTTAATCTCGTCAAGATTTTGTAAATTAGTGTCGTTTAAGAGTAGGGGTCTAATACCTGAGAAACGTTTGAAATTTCTCTTTATCATCACAAAACCCAACTCAACCTTCAATCCCCCAACCTAACTCAACCTTCGATCCCCCAACCCAACTAAACCTCCAATACCCAACCCAGTCATAAAACCCACACCTAATCCAGCTTCCATCACCCAATCTCTAACCCTTAATCTCCAGCCATATATCTTCACACCCAACTCATCCCCTACAACCTCCAAACTCAAACTTGCACCAAAACTATCCTAACCAAGTTGAACAGCATAAAATGGATAGAATACAACTAATAAAAGTTGTTGTTTTAATTTTAGGGTGTATGAGGTGCGTGTGATGTCATAATTGTATTGCCAGCACAGGCTTTGGTTCCTGCTGGTTCAAGGATATGAAGGGTAGTTGTGCTGCAACATTAATACTCTTGAAAACCACCCTATGCTAGGCAATCCCAGGGCCAAGCAAAACTAATAGAAATGATTTTATTTTATAGATCTACTGCATTGAGGTGTGTGATAGTACTAACGTAACTAGGTGGCATCTTGGAATCTATTTTGGAAACTGCAACATGTAGTTTTGGAAAGCTAACTATAGATAATGCACTACATAATGATAAGTAGGGGAAAAGAGAGAGAGAGAGAGGGATAGTGTGTGTGAGAGAGAGAGAGACAGAGAATGTGAAAGTTCTCACAGAGTGAGAATGTGCTAGAGTGAGAGACTGTGTGAGAGAATGAGAGAGAATGTGCAAGAGAATGTATGAGAGTGAGCGAGTGTGTGCGATAGAATGTGCAAGAGTGTGAGTGAGAGAATGTTGAACGAGAGAATATTGAGCAAGAGAATGTGAGAGTGAGTGTGTATGGGTGTGAGCGAGAGTGATTGAGTATGAGAGAGTATATGAGAATGAGTATTTACTATTTTTGCTATTAGCTCTTGGACCCCACCTTTTTAACCAATCTATTTTCCCCTATTATTCCTACTACATATATTTCTCTCTAACACACTCATGCGCACTCACACACATCCCCAGGAAGCAGCCCAGAGCAGCTGTCTTAACTCCCAGGTATTAATTTACTGCTAGGTGAACAGGGTATCATGGTGAAAGAAACTGCTCATTTGTTTCTGCCTTGGCCAGGAATTGAACCCGAGCCCTTAGGACTATGACCTCTGAGCTCTATCCATTCAGCTGTGTTGCCCCCTAGTGTGAGAGACGGAGGGAGGGAGGCTGGGCTGGGCTGGGCTGGCTTGGCTTCAAATAATTGAGGTTGGATAATAGCTCTTGCTTGTACAGTACCTATTCCTAATATGATAATTGTTTAGTTTCAAATAATAATTTCACGAAATAAATGTGTCTAGGGGCAGGTTTCAGATGAGCTGATGTAGGATAACAGCTCATCCTTGCAGTTTCACTAATGAATGAATCCTGGTAATAGGCAAAAAAAAAAGTGACTGCAATTGGGGGAGAGATAGAGTAAGATAGTTTGATAAGGTGAGAGAGTAGGTGTAATAGGGAAAAATATGCTTAAGTGGGTGTGAGAGACCAGTTATAAAAGAGAGTTAGTCATGAGCTGTGTGTGTGTGTGTGCATGAGCTGTGTGGAACAATGTTGCCTTGTTGATGCGGCTAGTGACTCAAGGTCATGTGGTGCTTCAGGATGTTAGGAGGTGGTGATCATACCTTCAATTTTGGGGGATCTGATATTCATATTTCATATATACAAACAGATTTCCAGGGTCTGGCTATAGTGTACATTATCATGCAAAGCAAAATGATATATTAGTCACTAAAATAGGGGTTATTAGGGCCTTCTTGTCAGGCCAGTGGGTGAAGTTTTGCAACTGATGGGTATTTTTTCTGTTTATTCTTGTTTATGCTCTTGATATCTTGAGTTATGCTTATGTGTCTTGTATTCACCATACTTAATTTCTCTTAAGATTGGCTGGATTGTAGTGGGTATGTCGGCCACTGGGCTGCCTCAAGCTGCAGCTTTTTAGATCAAGTTCTTACAAGACAAGCCTGGCAACAGGCCAGGGAGGGAAGAACTCGAGAACCCACTCCAGGTGTACTCCTAGATATAAGAAACATTGTCTATACATAAGTTGCCGAGATACAATAACATTAAGTTGTATGGTATAAGTCAAAATTGTACTACTTGGCACAGTCAAATTTAGTTTATGATGTTTCTATTAAGCAACATGAGCTAACTTGGCTTAAGTGATATTGTGGGATTTGAGCGTTCAGTATATAGGACCAAATTAAGTTTTTTTTTTCTAATTGTGGAATCATTTGAAAAAATGCATTTCACTGGCTTTTGTAGCATGGCTAGTGATATATCCAGTCCTGCACCGGACCCAATTTATAATGCATAATCAAAACAGAAAAACATGCAAAACATGCAAAAACATGCAAAACCTTATGTTTATCTCATCCTGTTTGGTTTGCATGCAATTTCTTTTAAGAGAGAAATATTTATATATTTATTTATAGTATGTTTTTGTCCAGTTGCTGAAGAGCATACATGTAGAAAAATGATATTACGTGTTTACCAGTGGTTGCTATTTTCTACTGCCCGGGCTTGTCCTAGAGCCATGCTCGGCTGATGATAATTGAATCTCTGAGACCGTTTCTTGCATTGGGCAGTAGGTGCATGTATCTTTTATATCCCGGATGACTCGGCACTTCGTGTTAGGATGATTAACAAATTATTGGTTTAGTTATATGTTACTTTTACCTTAATAATAATAATAATAATAATAATTATTATTATTATTATTATTTAGAAATACAGTATACACAAGAGCATATTACAGTGATTAACACGGACAGAAATTGTTTATTACATAAAGCCACTATTATACAAAATATTTCAGTTATGTCAACTTTGATTTATGCCGTGCCACAATAAGGGTGATGGCTTCTTGAAGTAAAAGATGTACATGATTGTACCCTATAAATATTTTTCTTTTCAAGTCGTGTTAGTGTATATCACTGTGAAGCTTATGATTGATTCTCCTGCACATAAACACTTTAACTTTTTGTATTTTCCTGTACCCTGTATAAGTAAATACTGTATCATGTTAACTACATTATCATATGACCATACAGTACTTTTATGTACTTTCGAGCCTGGCCCTAGGCCGGGCTCGGAGAGTAGAAGAACTCCCAAAACCCTCTCCAGGTATGCTCCTGGTATATACAGTACTGTACTGTATATATTAATTATGAGACATACATGCTTGTTACTTTTAGGATTTGCCAAAAACACTGTGTGATTATTGACCGTAATAAAAATATTGATGCATTGCTGTATCATGTAGGTATACAATATAAATTAACATATATATGTTTTTTAGAAATATATATTAATTTTTGTTTTTATTATTAAGGTTTATGATACAGCAGCACTATAGTTAGAATAGACTATTAATTTGTAATACATGTACTGATGATTTTTTTTTTTTTCAGGCTATCCCAAGACTGAGTTTGTATAGGAATTATAATGCTGCTGCGGAAACCACAAAACTCTTCATTAATGGGCAATTTGTTGAAAGTATAACTGGAGACTTTATTGATGTCCATAATCCAGCAACAAATGAGGTGAGTAATGCTGTCGCGTATTGTATATTGATGTCCATAATCCAGCAACGAATGATGCTGTTGAGCATTGTATATTGATGTCCATAATCCCGCAACAAATGAGGTGAGCAATGCTGTCGAGTATTATATATTGATGTTCATAATCCAGCAACGAATGAGGTGAACAATGCTGCTGAGTATTGTATTTGTTAACAAATACAAATATAAATAGTGATGCTTAGTTTAGTTTAGCATTAATTATTTTTTTTAGAAGCTTTCATAATTTTATAACCAAATTTATTGTGGCTCAAACTTCTTGTTAATTATGTTAAAAAAAAAGAGAATAAAAGACATATAATATCGTAATTTTATTTTGCGGGTATTTTAAATTTCCATATTTTTGATACCCCCTCAAGATTGTTTCAGATGTTCTTACTGTACCCAGCAAGTGACTTGGCATAGTAGCGCAGTGGTCTATGTCCCCAGCTCGCAACTGAGGGACCCGGGTTCAATCCCTGGGTGGCACAAAAATGGTTGGACATGTTTCCCTTTCACTTGATACCTCTGTTTGCCTAACGGTAAAATAAGTCCATGGGAGTTAGGTGGTAGTTGTGAGTAGCATCCTAGGGGAAGGTCAGTAGTTTGCCTAGAGGGGATATCAATAAGACGAAGTACAGGCTTATTTGTGTCTTCATGGTTGCTCTTAAAATATTTTAGTCAACTTTTTATGTTTAAAGGTTGATGATTTTTTGTTGATAGTTCCAAATATTGTACAGTAGATAATAATAGAAATAATAATAATTTATTCATAAGAAAGTACAAGGGGTTGATGAGATTACATAAGATTGGTATGTGTACATTCCTGCAAAGCCACTAACACGTATTGCATTTTGGGCAGGTCCTTAATATAACATATCAGGTAAGACGAAAAGATACATTGTAGCTAGGTTTTATATCTACAAATAACTACAATATAAATTGACCGAGGTGATTACACTGGTAAAGATATAGGTCTTAAGTACTAATATTGGAGGAAGTGGGTGGTACAAGATAGTGTGAGTTTGAAGCACAAGGTTGGAAACTGAGTATGAAATTAGGTCCTGTTTTTCCATTTGAATAGGGCATATGCTAGACAATTGTTTAATTTGTCAGGGAGCAAGTTCCAAAAACTGGATCCTTTTATTAGCATGGAGTGTTTGTACAGATTTAGTCTGACTCTGGGGATATCAAAGATATATTTATTTCTGGTGTGGTTCTCATGGGTTCTATTACACCAATCAAGGAAATGTTTCAGGTCAAGATTAGCCTTTAGGAACAAGATTTTGTACATGTAAATAGCACATGAGAATGTGTGGAGTGAGTTTATATTTAGCATGTGAAGGACTTAAACAGAAGGGCTGTGTGTTGTCTGAAGACAGAGTTTGTTATAGAAAGTGTTAAAATGTTGTTTCACTGTTAGAGAAAGAAAGTTAAGAAGCATTGTTCATAATACATTAAGCAGCATACTACAAGGGAAATTGGCCACGACATTTCAGAGAATTGCAAGACATATTGAACTTGGATTGAGATTGATATAATTGTTAAAAACAAGAAGTTTGTAGGAAAAATTTGAAATAACCTGCATTGAAATATTGTATTATTTGGCTATTGAATACAACGATAAATGTTTGCTTGTAACGTTAACATAACATATAACGCATTGCTAGATATACCTGAATATCTAGCAATTGTATAACGGTATATCTATATACCTGTATATTTAGCAAAAGTATAACTATATACCTGTATATTTAGCAAAGTATATCTAAATACAGGTACCTGTATATTTAGCAAAAGTGTAACTATATACCTGTATATCTAGCAAAGTATATCTAAATACAGGTACCTGTATATATAGCAATAGTATATCTATCAATGTATGCCTGTATACATAATGTAAAGAGAAATATGAGTCTAGAATATATGCATTAGTTTAGAAGTTGAATAATAGTGAAGTAATTAAAAGGGTAGATGAAGTTGATGGTTGTAAGGAGAGTTTATAAGCATCAAGAGTTGAGTGCAGTGTGAGATATTAGTGGGACTCCTTAGTTGTATTAGGATATGACACGTAAGGCTTTGAACTGAGAAGAGATGACATTTATACTGTAACATTTATCCCCGTAGATTGTTACACGAGTGCCTAAAGCAACTCAAGGTGAGATGCAGGCTGCTGTTGATGCTGCTAAAGCAGCCTTCAAGACTTGGTCGGAAACCTCAGTTCTCACTCGCCAGCAAGTGATGTTCAAGTACCAGCAGATCATTAAGAACAATATTGTAAGTCAAAATCTGGTTCCTTTCAAAACTTTCTTTTAGAGAGCAATGTGTTACTCCCTCCCCCAACCCTCTCTCTCACTCTAACCCTTCCCCTCTCTCCCTCCCTCCATCCATATTTCTCTTTTTATCTTTAACTCTTAAAACTGCAGTTAACATTATGTATTATGGGCCAAGTTGACAATATTGAATATTATGGCATTGATGATGCTTTTCACTTTTGCATCACTGTTTATTTATTTATTTATATACAAGAAGGGTGAGAGTACATAACATTGGTGTTTGCGCTTTGCATTCTTGCAAAGCCACTTAACATGCATAGCATTTCAGGCAGGTCTTTAAGCTAGCTGATAAACGTAAAAGTAATAATAGGTACAGTACATTGTCTGAATGTTGTACACTGACTGTTGAGGGGTTTACCCGAATTTACCTGAGGGCCACTAATACTAGTGGCCTCAATGACGACAGGAAGCTGGCAACTTGTCAAAGGTTCTCCCATTTGCCCTGATTTGCCCTGATGCAATACCATTTTTGTAAGTGTTCATGGTATTGCCCAGTAGTTATGAGAGATCACTGCACGTCCTTCAACTTCTTGGTCATCTGACGGTGTGCTTTTGATAAAAATAAATTTTCTATATACTGTACAGGTGCACCTTCAAAGTGTAGCACTTTGCAATTCCAAACCCATTTTTGGCTATTTATCATCAGATTTTCTGTATTTTCATGTAAAACTCAAAATGAAAATTAAACAGGATTTTGTTTTAAATATGCTTAATAGCATTGTCAAGGCATCAACTCTTTCTCCTAATGTTGTATTAAAAATGTGATCAATGCCTTTTTAAAAGATTAAAAAATGAGTTCCCTGTCTTTTTTATTTTTTGCACTCTTTATGTGCAAATTTCACAACAAAATTTTTATTTCATCTGTTTCATATGATGAACTACTACCAGGCGTACCTGTCTGTAGAGAGATTTCTCCCTCAGTGCCAGTAAATCTCAAGATCCAGCCGCCTTAAATCTTTTTTGAAGAGTAGACCTTGACACCAATGAGCCAGACACACTGACTTTCCACCATCTACAACTCTTTCTTTAGCTCTAGATTTTGTATAAAATATCTTTGGAACTTATTTTAATAAATAATTAAAGATGTATATCATAATCACTTTTAGAATAATATTTCTGGCACTTTCTCAGGCCTAAACTCTGACCCCTCCCCTACTGAACAACATAAAATTTCAAGAATGTAAAAAATGTAGAATATGATCTGCAGGAAATTACTTTGCCTAATGATCCTGCAGAAAAATCAATATTTTTTTATATTTTTAATTTGAAATTTGGAGGGAAGCTCCAGTGGCCGAATTTGGTCCATTGTTACAGGGAGGTCTGGATTTGAGAGGTCGTGCTATAAATGATCTATCCGAAGGGATGTAGAATCATTTGAACATGTTTATAGATGGTACTAACCTCTGGGCATAGAAGAACTCTTGAAACCCTCTCCAGGTATGCCATCTGCAGGTATCCCTCTCCAGGTTTGAATAAGTTACCCAGACAGAATAAATCTGGGCATAGAGAAGCCCAGCATAAGCCCATAAACATTAGCATAGAGACACAAATGGTAACTAACATGTAATGGGAGTGCAAAATAAGTGAAACTACATATTATGTGAAAAAGATGTTAATGAACTCGGTTTAAGAATAATTTAGGAGTGTTACTGGATAGTAACTTGTCACCAAGGAGGCTCATTAAATGCCAAACAAGAAAGGCCTACTTTACAGAATTTTTGGATGTAGAAATGCTTAAAAATCACAACATATTGAATTAGAGATCTAAATTAGAATTTGCAACAGTTATGTGGTGTCCATTTCTCAAAACAAATAAATAAGGTAGAAAGATGACTCCTGAACTTAAAAGACAAGTGCTATGATGAGACATTAAAATAAATTAAATATGCCAAACCTAATAGACAAGAAAATGAGGTCATATTGTTACTACATTAAAAAATCATGACAAATTATCAAAATTTATAAATATAAAGTTTGTAATTCCACCACATGGAGAACCATGGGTCTTTGGATTCAAGCGAAGAAAGCAATGGTACTAAAAAAAACATACAAAAATGTTCTTCTACAGAGTGGTAGGTGAATGAACTATATTAAACGAGAATGTAGCATGTGCCAAAACCATAGGCAGCGTTTTTAGTGTCGTATGACAAAATTCTAGGGAAGCTGGGACATGGCTATAGCTCTCAGCAACTATTCACTCACCCAAACACTCACATGTATGGTTCATGGAGAAGACAGTGAAGTAACAAACATAACTCATGCATTAAGGCCTTAGTACTGCTAATTTAGTATGGCGATAAAATACAACTTTTGTATTTTCTGCATTTCCCCCTTTTAATTGAGTTTTCCATGTAATTGTGTCGTAACATTTCTTACAGCATGATATAGCCAAGGCCATTACACTGGAGCAAGGGAAAACCTTGATTGATGCTGAAGGAGACGTGATGAGAGGCCTCCGTAAGTATTGTAGTAATTTATTAAAATTTTTGTAATTTTCTGGTACAAAAAAAAATCCGGTTTATGATGCCTTTAGTAGTTGTACTCGTAATAATACTGATGATACTTCTTATGGCTCCTACTGATTTTCTCAATACTGATGATTATTATCAGAATACAGTATTTTTTCATTCATATTTCTTATCTATAGTTTGCACTCTTTACTAAGTGTCATTTGGTCTTCTGAAGAGGGTTTCCAGCAAATTTTTATATGTTTGATTTTCTTCACCTCAGGAACAGGTCTTGTTCAGGTTTCACCTCAGGAACAGGTTTCTTCACCTCAAGTCTTGCAGGAATATTAGTCAGGGTGAAGTGGTAATGAAGAAAATATGAGATGTTATTTGTTTATGAAAAGGGGAAATTTGTGATGAAACTTGAGTGACCTTGCAATGGAATATGCCATTGATTCCAACACTATTTCTGATGCATACAGTATGGAAAGATATGGAACTTAACTTTAAAGATACTGTATATACATTTAAAATAATTGTTTTCTTACAATACTTTATCATGTTTAAGTCTGATTGTACAGCTGTTTTACAACATGGTTTGGTTATAATTATGTTAAAATTGGAATTAATGCATGTTGTATTATTTCTGATAAAAGAAAAACTCAAATGGTTGAGCATGTTTACCCAAATTTAACTGAGAGCCACTAACACTAGTGACCTCGACGAGGACAGGAGGCCGGCGGCTTGTCGAAGGCCCCCCTTCCTATTTGCTTTGATGATCTTTTTCAGCTGTACTCTAAAAGTTAAGAGTTTTGGCATTTACGGCTTCGGCGGGAAGGCGGTTCCATGAGTTTATACCTCTGTGGGTAAAAAAGCATCTCCCGTTCTCAGTCCTACTTTGTGGCTTGTTGAGGTCGAAACCATTGCTCCTTGCTTGTGTTACAGCTGTTACATCTATACATAAACATGTATATACATATACATCTTGTGTTACATCTATACATATAAATGTATAGATGCCAGATGCAGTGGAAGCTTAGATGGAACAAAAGTGGGTCCAGTCTTGTGAGTCTGTTTACATGGAAATATGGAGCATTTGTAAGAATTATATTAATATCACTAGATTTAACATTCTCACTTATTTGAAGAGGATGTTGACCTCTGCTTGAATATGCATTTCTTTTTTTTTTTTTTATCTTCCATTCACTTGAGTAAATATTCTTTGATGATATCTTGGCCTATTATATTTTTATTCAATATCTTACAATATTTGAAAACATTAACTGAATTCAGTTTTGAGAGAGAATTTGTTGTTTTATTATCTATACATTTTTCAGAGGTGGTAGAGCATTGTTGCAGCATCACCAGCTTACAGCTAGGAGAGACGCTGCCATGCATTGCACGCGACATGGATGCTCATTCATATCGTGTACCACTTGGGGTGTGCTCAGGGGTTGCTCCATTTAATTTCCCGGCAATGATACCTCTCTGGGTAAGTTAGCTCTTGCTTTTATACCTGGTTTGGATAATGGACATTTGGCCAGGTGACCTTCTCTCTCTCTGAAACTCTTAGACTGCTTCAACCACTATTTGCGATTTCCTCTTGTAGGTAAATTGTCGTGTGTGAACCTTACGGGTTTTCAGCACTTTCCTTTCTGGCACACCACACGGTATGACTTTTAAATAGATGTGCCGTTTAAGGATTAAGTGAGTACTAAAATTTAATATGCATGGTTGTAAGACCGTAAGATATTTATAGGCCTAAATAAATAAATACAAAATTAGAGCAATATAGATAATTTGCAAAGCGTTTTAAATGAGAAACACTAACTTAGAGTGGAGATGGTAAAGATAATGGCATGAAAACAAGTCAGTCCTGAATTTATCAATCTTTGCACTCGTTGTAATCATCTACCTGGCCTAATGTCCACACCCACACTTGAGGAAATAATTCACAAACGAATGATATTTTGTCTGGAAGGACTCGCTGATCCAGCAAACTCGATCAACTCTCTCCTTTTTTTTCTGGCACTTGCTTATCACTGGTCATTCCAAGTTTTCCAGAAATATGTGGTTAAAATGTCTTTAAAAGAGACCATACCACACATACGGCATTTCCAGAATGCCATATGTGTAATGGAAATATCTTTAGAGGGAGGCCTGCCAAGATGATTCAACCTGCGCTCACTCCTAAAATGTCACATTTTTAATGGAATTGACAATGTATTTGTCAGACTTGTTGAGTTTTGTAAAAAAGTATTGCACTCTAATACTAGTATTGATGTTATCTGTCCTGAGCCCCTCCGGCTCCTTGGAGCTATACTGTGCTGATATGTATATATAAGACCATGGCATCAGTCAATTTGATTGTAGTTCTAGCCTACCGGGGACCACAAGCCAAAACCTAGCCTCCTCAGAGAGGCACGAGGAGCAATGACCTATAGAAACCCCCATATGGTTGGAAGCATTCTATGTCTGCCATCTACTGGGTTAGGCACCCAGAAAGGTAGGCATCCCAAAACAAACTCCACCTGGTTAAAATTGCTACCGAAAACCGAATTGTAGAGTAGAATTCCACAATCTGAAAACAAGCAAACAAGTATGACGTCACAACCGCTGCCATGTCGCAGACAGCGGCATGGCGCTGTTTCCTTCCCTGCTGTCATTCCCTTCCCCTTCCCCAGGAGGGGAAAGGGAAAGCCCTAGATCTTTTGCACTGGCTACCCAACCTCAGTTCTGAGGCTGATGTGTTGCATGGCAGTTGTTTGACTCTGGCTCTTGTCTCTGAGCAGTGCTGTCCCTTTGTGGTGGTGTTCTGCTGTGTGGTGGTGTGCGAGCCAGTTGTTCTTCTGTGTGGTGGTGTATGAGCCAGGAGTAATTCACGGAGTACTGGGGCTGCATGCGCCTATGACACCTTCCTTAAGTGCCCTGTAAGTAAAGCATTACCCTTGCGGCTTGGGGTTGCCTTCCACAAGTCGTTTGGGAACTACCTCCATAGGGTTATTTTGCTGCTCGGTGATTCCCCGCCTCTGATGTCAGCTAGGGTTTTCATTTCCATTGTTTGACCTTGGGTAGGAGGTAGTATCGTCGCTGGTAGGGGCGCAAGATACTGTGCAGCTTGTCACCTATTACACAGCGGCCGGTTCTGTTCCTCATGGAGACGTACTTTTGTGTTTCATTTATTTAATATTTTGTTTTCATTTTTTGTTTATTGCCTGGTGGGGGGGTCTGCCCCTTAGTTATTGTCCACCCTTTGTTACTCTGGTGGTCCCCCTACTAGGTCCCTGTGATTGTACACGTCTCAGGGTTCAGCTTTTCATAGATCTCTCGGTAGTTGGGCCAACCGGTTAGCAGTACTCTGCCTGGGCTTCATTAAGTAGTCAACCTAAGGGCCTTGTAAAACCCCATTGGGGCTCATTGGTTCAGTGGATGCATCCTCTGGGGTCCCATCTCGCCTTGTGCGAGTTTGAAGCTTGCTCGGTCCCCTTATCTCAGGGTGACATTTACCTGTTTTACCTCCATCATGCTGCCTGTGGGTTGGTGACACTTTTGACCCAGAGTCCTGCGAGTGGTGTTCCTTGCTGGTTCTCCAATTCACCCAGTTCACTGATACTGATACTAGGGTGCAGGGGGCATCGGCGTTGCATACACGGTTTCGGTTGCTGCAATGCACTAGGTTGGTTTCATCCGCACCCCCTCGTCCTTCCCCTGCAGTGGTTTGTCCTGCTCCCACCCCCCACTGCCGCCTCCCAAATGTCTGAGGGTTTCGGAGTCAGGGCAAGGTCTAGATGGTGGTGAGGTGAGACTCGGGCGGTCTCGGGGGCTGTCCCTTCAGGTTTGGCGATAGAGGCATTCGAGACCTGCTCCTCTGGCCGGGGCTTCAGGGTCTGACTAGCGGACTCCCCCTGTTTCCCAGCTTTTCCGGTTGACTCTGCCTTTGCTTTGGGGCAGAGGATTTTGCCTCGATAACAGACTCTTCCTCATTTGAGCTCGATTCTGCTTTTCCCTATTGGGTGTGTTACAAGGTCCTGGAGTCATCCTGGCTAGCAGACTGTCCTTTCTTTTTGTTGGGGGCGTGGCATTCGTTCTGTCGGACCTGCACGCTTGAGTGGCAGGAAACTTCTACTGTGGTTCGGGTTTACTTGGGGGCGAGTTGGAGCACCTCAATGCATGCTTGTTTGCCCCCGTTTTTCCTAAGGATATTGATCAGGTGCAGCTCCATGTGCAGGTTCCCACCCTTTCGTCATCCCTGGTAGCTGAGGATTTGCGTGCAAGGAAGCAATGGGCCATGGTTTTGCTTTTCTTTTTCCTACTCGAGTTGTCTTCAGACTGGCTTGAGAAGGATGTGGAGGCGCTGGGGACTGGGCTTGTGTCTGGTGCACTTGCCTTGGCGGTTCTGGCGTCAGCTGCATTATAGAAGTTGTATGCGCTGATTCTGAAGGAGGCGGTATCTCTGTTCTTTGCTTCCCGCCTCGTGTGCCGGCAGGCTATGCTTGCTCATTTTCTGGAATCTGAGTGGGCTCTGGCTCTTGGATGTTCTAATTTTTGTCTGTTGTTGTTTGCGGATTCTGCAGTTATGCAGTACCTGCAAGCGGCGACTTCTAGCTGTTGCCCTATGTCGGAGTTGTTGGTTCTCCAGGGTGGATGTGGGGGTCGCTCCCGGAGGGGGCCGTGCCAGGGTTCGGGGTTCCTCCAGTCGTGGTGCCAGTTTTGGAACCGGCGCTTCTTTCGGAACCCACGGCATCTGGTCAGCACTTCTTTCGGAACTGACGGCGTCTGGTCGGTACTTCTTTCGGAACCGACAGCGTCTGGTCAGCACTTCTTTCGGAACCGATGGCATCTGGTCGGCGCAGTGATTGCTCTGTGCATTGTTTGGGTTCTCTTAAAGGGCGTCGGCCCTTTTGCGGTTTGCACTGTTGACGGGGAGGATCAGTAGTTAAGCCTTGAAGGGGAAGGTGTGGGGGGGTGCATGATGTAAGTACTGTACTTACTGTAATGTATACTATATAAATATGGACAGTATGCTTGTTCTCGAAAAAAATTATCATTATTTATAATTATATCAGCTACAGGTACTTCATTGTCGGGGATATGGAGTGCTACTCTTACCGAGATTCCCTATGTCAAGGGAGAAAGTATTTGGCCAGACCCAATAGATCTTAATCTGATTAATTGATTGACGTTCACATCACTCACTACGTATTGTAAAAGTAATTTGTTAGAGAAGATATGAATGAATGACGACATAGGCCTCAATTAGTTTAATCTACCTATTGTACAGCAAATATGGCAAAGCATTTCAACTGTGTGGAATTTTTCTTCATAGTGATATGTACTGTAATAGACTGCATTGTACTTTACTATTTTGTACTTTGTTAGTTTTTACCAGTAAGTGATAGTAAGTGATTTTACCAGTTTAGCTAAACACATGATGACTCGAGGATAAGAGCATAATACAAAATTATTACTTGGTGTATTCAATAGCTAAACTATAGCTAAACTATAGCTAAACTATAGCTAAACTATAGCTAAACACATGATGACTCAAGGATAAGAGCATAATACAAAATTATTACTTGGTGTATTCAATCAATTTAATGAATACGTAACTTTCGTCACATTGCTTCCCCTCACAGATGTTTCCCGTTGCGTTGGTCTGTGGAAATACCTATGTATTTAAGCCGTCTGAACGAGTACCTGGTGCAACCATGATGCTGGTTGAAATGTTGAAGGAAGCTGGCTGCCCTGATGGTGTTGTCAATGTCATCCATGGTCAGCATGAAGCTGTCAACTTTATCTGTGACAATCCTGACATCCGGGCTATTTCCTTTGTGGGTTCGGATGCTGCTGTGAGTATTTTGTATCTAAGGAAAGTAGAGTAATGATTATTTGGTAAATTTTACAAACACTGCATATTAATCAAATGCAAGTTTTGGATGACATCTTATGATTTTTAATGGGATAATATTGGAGTGTTTCCTAAAACTTGCTAAAGGTGGCTTTAGTAATTGGGGAAATAATCTGAATTTTAAAGATGCGGAAAAGTTATAGAGTTGATGCTGGAAGGATATGCAGGAGAGGTTTTAGTCACTGTTGCTGATGCAAACTGCCATCATGGCTTTTGTGTATCTTAAAACTCTTCCTGTACACATATTTACTCATAATCTCAATTATGTAACTAATATTCTTATTTCAACAGGGTCGATATATTTATGAAAGGGGATCCATGAATGGAAAGAGAGTACAGTCCAATATGGGGGCCAAGAACCATGGAGTGATTATGCCTGATGCTAACAAGGATAGTACCTTAACTCAGCTGGTTGGAGCAGCTTTTGGTGCAGCTGGTCAGAGGTGAGGGTATGGAATTGAAGTGTGTATGCGTGCTGTGCTTGGAGTGAGTCAGTGAGATCAACTTCTCAGAACCCTTTCCAGGTATTCTCCAGGTATTGCACCGTGGAATGATACAAGAGAGAAACAAAGGGAAACACACCCAAAATTGTTCCTTTTCAAAGCAATTCAAACTGACTTCTTTTATTTTTGACAACATACAAGACATATACAAAACAAAACTCCTGTCATAGAGGGCCAAAATTCCATGTGTAATTCTATGAAATACACAAATACTCTACCTACACTGTAATTGATCTTTTGTATACAGGCATACCTCAGAATAAGAGTTTAATCCGTTCCTGGAGACGCCTCGCCTTCCGAAAACTCGCATTCCGAAGTTAATTTCCCCATAAGAAATAAAGGGAAATGAATTAATCCGTTCCTGACTACACCAAAAACCCCACATCAAACTAAATTTTTATACCTAATTTACCTAATTCATCTAAATAAACCTACAAAACTGTGTTCCAGTTATTACTTACCTTGCTGTCGAGTGCTGTAGGCGTATGGAAGATGGTGAGGAGGGGGGAGGAGGAGAGGAGTTACTGTTTGGAAGGGGAGTCCCCTTCCATAATCACATCACATAACCCCATGCCTTGTAACACTATGGATACCACTTCTCTTTCTAAATTTTTCAAACCAGCCCCTGCTTGCCTTAAACTCTTTCTTATCTGCATCACTCGTTGCAGGGGTATTCTTTAGAAGGTCTTCGTGCAACACCCTGGCTTTCTCACAAATAATGGCCTCCGAAACACTATCACCCCTCAACTCCTTGTCGTGTATCCAAATTAATAACAACTTTTCCACTTCTTCAAGTATTTGTGGTCTTTGTGCCGTTAATGTTCTTACTCCTTTTGCCACTTTAGCACCCATAATCTTATTTTTCTTCTTAAGTATAGTGCATATTGTTGATGTGGCTTTGTTGTACTGCCTACAAAGTTCAACAACACGTGTACCGTTCTCATGCTTCCGAATGATCTCTTGTTTCTCCTCTATTGTCATCCTCACATGAGCTTTCTGGCCTTTATCCTTACCAATGGCTTTCTTGGAACCCATGGTGAGATATATAATAACAAATTGTATAGACAAATCACCAAAAATCCAACAAAACACTGAAAATCCGCGAGAAGAATTGATGTGGGGGTAGTCACTGAGCGCGAGACAATAATAAACTGAGGGGCGGCGGGGCGGAGGGGCGACGATCGCCGAACCACCACGCGCTAGGTCGGCTGTACGCGTATCAACAAACTCGCGTCCAAACTCGCCTCCCGAAGTAACCATCGCCTTCCGAGACAAATTTTTGGAGTAAATACACCTCGCCTTCCGAAAACCTCGCATACAGGGACAATCGCATTCCGAGGTACCACTGTATCTTATGAATAAAATATTCTTATTATTATAAATTTGCTATTAAGAGGCAAATGCTGTCTGAAGAATTCACAGAAACCCATAATAGAATTAACAAGGGCAGTTAAGTTTAAAGGCTATAATAACAGCATTTATAAGTGTGATCGTGTAAATAGACAATCTGTCGACCTACAGAGAACACTGCTTTTCGCTCGTTTGTGTTACATAAAGCCAAAAATTGTCGTAGTGAATAATGGAAGCAGCTGGCAAAACAGACATATGGTCCCGTTTTCTGTTTTGGGGTCTTCTGTTAGGGTAGGAGAGGATACTTTAAATTGACCGTTTTCTTGACATTAAGAAACCTTAAGAGGATGTGCTGAGATAGGACACTTGGTGTAGGGCTTTGTTAAAAAAATCAACTGCACTGAATCAAGATCCTCAAATGATGTGCTGGAAACATTAGAAATGAATGTGGTATAAGATTTTAAGTAAGCTACACAAAGTGATAGGAATAGTTTTTAATCTTTCAAGATCCTATGCTTATCTGGTGAAGGCTTAAGATACTACCTAGTTCCAGCTGATGTTTAGTTTACCTAATTTATTATGCACCCCATACCGATCCTGTGGGCAGTAGTGGAAAGGATTACAGAGGCACAAATTGGGCTTAAGGACTGAACCCCCACAATTCATTTAGCTAAGCAAATTACAACCTTGATGAGCTAGTTACAAAATTCATTGCACATTGTCCCATCAACAATGGGCTCGAGACCAACCACAAGATACAGTTTCTGAATTACACAACTGACGTGTGTGGAGTGCTAGTGTCACAATTGATATGTTTATCCTGCACACCGCTCCCCATCCAGTGGGCAGCGATGGATAGTTTACAATCACTTAGTTACTACCTACAGTTAGCAAACTGGGAATATTTGGCTAAGCTGATGACTGTCTTGCAATTCTTATTATGTCTTTGCTCTAGTATTGACATCCTGAGTAATTTTTAGGGTGTTTTTCATATCCCACTGCATGAATGGTGCTAAATAGTCTTTGCTGCTTGCTGCTGCAGTTTGATTACAACTCAGCTTGCAACTCAGATGGAAATGTTAACCAAGAGAGAAATTCCGATCAATATGTTGACCAAATCTCACATCAGAAGATGGAGAAACGACGACGTTTCAGTCCGATCTGGAACATTAACAAGTTGTATGAGTCATACTGATCCCTTCTGATCAATATGACTCCCTGGCTTTTTGAAGTTTTAATAATTATAATAATTGTTGTAATTTTATAATTTCTATTATTTAATTTTAGGGTAATATGTATTCATTTTTATAATTTATTTTTAATTACTGTACAATATTTAGATTTTCTGGAGCATTGCATATTATTCCAGATGTATGGCTCTAAGTACAGCAGTGTTTGTCGGAGAGTCCAAAAATTGGCTACCAGAGTTGATTGAAAAGTCCAAGAAGCTTAGAGTGAATGCTGGCCACGTTGCAGATGCGGACTTGGGTCCGGTAATCTCCCCAGCTGCTCGGCAACGTATATGCAGCTTGGTGCAGTCGGGCATTGATGAAGGAGCAACATGTGTACTGGATGGACGTAATATTGTTGTAAAAGGTTACGAAAATGGAAACTTTGTTGGGCCAACTATTCTGACAAATGTCACGGTAATATAATCTTCCAAGTTTTCACAATTTCACTAGTACATAGTACAAAACATTGTGACTTTTATTTTATAATATTCATCTTATCAGTGATATTAGCTATAAACATTTGGGAAAGATTTCAGTGCTCTGAAGAATGATCAGGGTCTTCAAGCTTTTGACTGCAGTCTCTAAGTGAAGGAGGGATATGTATCAACAGAGGAGATATGAGCAAGTTCTTGAAACTCTTGGAACTTATCAAAACCCACAATAGCATATAAGCTGGAGAAGTTTAGACTCGGGAAGGGTATGGAGAAATATTTAGTTGGCAACAGGATGGTAGATGACTGGAATAGGTTGCTGATCAACATCATTCAGGCAAATGGTATTGCTAGTTTTTTAAACAGGCTTCATAGATACATGGGGAAGATGGGTGGGTCCAGATTGGTTCTGGCCAAAATCTCTACTATGCTTACTGTAGCTTCCAGTAAACAGACTGAGAGGGCGAGCATAGTGGTTTTGTGCCCAGTCCTGCTGGAAACAAAGTTTTTAGAGCTTTGGAAAAAAACTGTTCACTTGCCACAATGGTTAGTGCAGTCAGCTTACGATTGATTGTACCCTAATTTAATTTCTGAACAGGGCAAGACGTTAAGACATGTTTTCTTACACCCGATGCCTCTATTCACCTAGCAGTAAATAATCACATGGGAGTTGGGGGACTTTTGGATTGCATCCTGGGAATGATCAGGTCTCAATGAGCCTACCAAGTTTCCTGTTTCCGACAGTAAGAAACTATGACTAAAAATCGATATCTGTAATTATCAACTTTCCACACATATTACTTCTTGGCCAACGTACCAAGATGAAACAAATAGATGGCCACAGTAAATGTGGTCAAGTTACTTAAACCTGGTAACCGCATTTCTCATGATTGTCTACTCGTTTGATCTTGCTGCATTAAGTGCCAAAAAAGAGATTTATGCAAAATCAGGATAATTTAAGAGGTGTGCAAGTTCAGGTGTACTGTGGTGGCTATCGCAGTATTTGACTGTAAAAAAAATATACAAATTCTTTTGCACCTTCATAATGTTTTAAAATGTATTCCATATTTTAATGCAAGAAATATCCTTGGCATCATATCAAGTGACTTGTACAGTACTGTAATTATGTAAAACCACTCCTTTTAGCAAAAATTAATACAAAAAAGTTATTTTACATTCGTCATAAACTGTGAAATTATGCCCGCTAGAAAAATATTATTGATTAAATTAACAAACATATTGATAGTGTACTCTGAAATAACTAATGTTAAAATGTCCTTTTAGCCAAACATGACTTGCTACAGTGAGGAGATCTTTGGGCCTGTATTGGTTACTTTGTCGGTGGACACCTTGGATGAGGCTATTGAGATCATCAACACCAACAAATATGGTAATGGAACAGCCATATTCACCACCAATGGAGCTACGGCCAGGAAATTTACAAATGACATTGATGTTGGGCAGGTAAGACTACACATACTGTACTTGGAATGATTTTTTCCATGTTGTCACTAAATTGCAATTGTTATATAGGATGATGGGGGGGTCTGGAAAGGAAGATACAGTAATATGAAAAAGGATCTTTTCGAAGATTCTCCTCAAGTTAATATCCCAAGTTACTTGATCTAATAAGGTGAGACAGGGGAGGGAGCCTTTGTTATTTTAAGCCCAAATTTCAGTTTATCATATAGGATTTCCTTAAATTATTTTTCTTTACCAAACTTATGTGAAGTTTTCAGTATAGTACAAATTATATACAGTACCACCAATGGAGCTGTATTTACTGTATACTGTATTTACAATTTTGTAATGCACACATGAACATTTATAAGTATTACCAAACTGATGTATGTCCTTAACAAGTTTACAATCATTTGGATATTGGGTGATCTTAAAAACTAAGAATAGAGACATAAATTAGTTATAATTTATTTAAATGTAAAAGTTTAAAGTGGTAATTGAACATAGCTTCACAGATTTGTAAAATGTGGATTGGTAGTTTGATCAATGTTTTAGTGTAGAAAATGTTAAACACACAGCATTGGAGGCACAAATAAGTTTACCCACAGTTAAAGGCTTTAAGGATAGAGTAAAATTTTCAGTGCATTTCTAACATGTCCCATATTTAACCACTGCACTGCTCAGAGTGCCTTGAGGCGCTAGATCAGGGATGTGCAGAGCGCCTCAGTGTGCTCGTAGGTATAGCGTAGGAGTCAAAACTCCCACGGCTACACGTGGTTCACATCAGCTTCCTTAGGGCTCTAGTAAACAGACGCCATTCTGAAAAAAATTGTGGGCAACATTCCGGATGTGAGAGTCTCAGTACTGAGTGAGCAACCATGGCTGGTGCACGCAACATGAGCTAACAGCACTGCTGTTCAGCTTATGACCACAGCATCGCCTAAAAATGTCAAAATATAAATGTAACTGGTATTATTTAGCCATGATAGTATTATAGAAGAGCCTGACTGTGATAAAGACTGTGTGCAATGTTCAGATATCAGTGAAAACAATGCTGTTCAAGATGTTTACAGTGTTAGCCACAGCACATTGTCATTGTTTGGTCCATCTAAGAATCTTGAAACGACTTCTCCCTTTTCCTTTACAAAATAAACTTGTTGAAAATTATTAATTTAAAGGATTTAGTGACCAAGATTCTGATCATAGCAGGATTGCTGTGATAATTAACAATGTGCGTAGTACTGTATAGAGGGAGGAGAAATCTTGGTGAGGAGGAAAGGTGGTAGTGTTAGCTGGCTGGTGTGTGGCAGCCACTCTTGTTTGGACTCACCATACCAGCTTAGTGGTTTGCTAGGGTAAATACAAATTTAGATACTTATATATAACGTGTGTGTGTATATAGTATAATAACAGCAAAAGGAGTATGTTGGGAAGCACCATTTTGGTGAGGGAGGGAGTGAGGCTGTCATCTGCTAGCTGCTGTGTCACTTGTTGTGTAGTTTTTTGTGGCCACTATGTTGTTTGGACACCATACCAGCTAAGCTGTACAGTTATGGTGAACAATACATGTAGATACTTATATATAATGTGTGTTAATAGTTTAATAAAAACAATAACAATATGGTGGGAGGAGGAATGTTGGCAAGTGAGAGGTGTTGAAGGAGGGAGGCAGGTGGCGTCTGTTAGCTGCTGTGTCATGGCCACTCTTGTTGTTTTGACTCGCCATACCAACTTAGTGGTTCGTTATGGTGAACACATAACACGCTGAGACACACTTTCTTCACTATTTACATCATTAGTATTGGTTGCCAAGCATCATTATATTTTGATCAACAGGTTGGGATCAACGTACCAATTCCTGTACCTCTGCCAATGTTCTCCTTTACCGGGTCACGAGGATCATTCCTGGGCGATACCAACTTCTACGGTAAAGCTGTAAGTAAAACCTTTGGTTATGTGTTTGGGGTTGCCCCCTACACCAGGGTGGTGTGAGATCAGGATCTTAGTACACTCCTCCTCCTATCCCTGTAACAACCAAGGAAATTACCGTTATCACTTTCCTGTTTAGTCTACCTCTCTCCCCCCTCTCTCCTCTCCTGCTCCCAGGCTTCTCAGTTTACAACAGAATAGAGAGGCCTTTCTCTGTTGTGTGTGATCAGAGAAGCCATTAGCCAGGTATCTCCTTGGCCTCCTGTCTACCTTTTTAACCTCCAGGGGTCCATACTAGGCCTTTACCCTTGTGGAGGTTTCCCTTATAATGTACTCCTTTACTTCTGTGTATTTATAACACTTTATTTTCCTTATTTCACCATCTATAACACCACCCATCTGGCTATCACCATTGGTACTGCCACCAAGCGAGTTGTTACAAATTATGACTTGACTAAAAGTTAAGTTAATCTACTTGATGATGCCACCATCTTCACCTTTGATGAACATTAGTATTTTACAGTGACCGGCGGTGAAGGATACCAGCCACTGGGAGAGTTAAAGATGGCACAGGGGGAGGGGAGGAGAACACAGTTCAAATGGAGAACATTTGTTCCTTTTTCATGAATAAATGTTATATAGTGAGGTATAAGTAATTTATCAAATTACTTATACACTTAAAGAGTGCTTCCTGAAGAGAAGAGGAAGCACTTGAAAGAGTGCTTCCTGCTGCTTGTGTGTGATATGGAGTGAACAAGTTTTCTTGTCTAGGTCTTAAAGAGACTCAAACAATTGTTTATGGAGATTTGCATTGTATTTGGCTTTTCTCTAAACGGATGCAATAACAGGAGGGTGGTCTGTCAATTTTACAGGATCTGACATGGTACCCAACTGTAACCTACAATGTTTTGCTCCCTTTTCTGCTGATAAGCTATATGTAAATATTCTCAAAGTGTCCATACCCATGAGTATATCCCCAGGAAAGTATAGATTGTCCACCACTGTACAACCATGGGGTTGGATTTTATTATTCTCCAATTCAAAATTCAAGGGGCATTGTCCCACAATATCAATCTTTTGGCCGTTGACTGCAGTAAGTTGTTTATTACACAAATTAAGGCACACCTGACTGAAGGGCATAAATGCTTCTGATTTAATTAAGGTTACCTGACTTCCAGTGTTTAGAAAAACAGCCAACCTTTCCCCATTGACCCCTCACTTCGAAAGTAGGTCTGCCATCCTGTTTGGGGGTTCCTTATCTCATTTGGGAACTATCTGGCTTGGTCACTTTACTCTGACTTGGCCCATACCTCCACAATTCCAGCACTTCATATTGTTAGAATATGGTGTTTCCTCTTCTGTGGCTGAATAACATACTTCAGGGCCTTTCACCTTTCTACTAAAATATGCTACAGGGTGTGGGTTATTCTCAGAGTCACACTGAATTAAGCAGCCACCTATGGCAATGCCACTTGCATCAGTATGCACTTTCCACTCCTCCTCAAAATCTGGAACCGCTAACACTGGAGTCGTTATCAACTGAGCCTTTATTTTTGTGTATGCTTCGTCATGTTCATTAGTCCATACAAATTTTGCATTTTTCTTTGTGAGGTTCATCAGTGAGGCTGACGTCCTTGCTAAACCCTTTATGGCGACGGAAATACCCCGTTGTACTCAGAAATCTGCGTACGTCCTTCGCTGTTCGGGAGTTGGCATTTCAGCGATAGCATGACAGGAAACTGGATCAGGGTGTATTCCATCTGTGCTCACCTGGAACCCCAGACATTTGAATTTTTGAGATGCCAGAGTGCACTTCTGAGCATTCAACTTAAACTAAGCCTTATATAACAGCGACAATGTCTCGGTCAAATCACTGAGGTGCTCATCAAAGGTCCTAGAGTAGACAACTATGTCATCCAGGTAGGCTAATGAGGGTTTACCTAGGACTGGACCAAGTATATAATTAATAGCCCTTTGAACAGATGAAACGGCCGTTTTCAAGCCGGATGGCATACATTTGAATTGGTATGTATGGATGCCATCCATGAATGCTGTCTTCTTTGTCCCTCTCATCTACAGGTATAGTCCAATAAGCTGATTTTGCAACAAGAGTGGAGAAGTACAGTACTTGGCTGTACCAAAATTATCGAGAATTTCTTGAATTAACGGCAAGGGATATACATCATCTATCATTATCTCATTTATTTTTCGATAATCAACACAGAACCTATAGCTATTGTCCGGTTTACGTACAGGTACCACCGGAGACAACCAAGGTGACGTACTTGTCTCTATCCCATCTTGCCTCAGCATCTTTCAACATTTGTCCCTAATAATTTGTTTTTCCTACTCCGGAAGTCACGACTGCCGCATATGAACAGGAAGGTGGTCACCTTTTGGAATTGTACGTTCTATTTGAGGCAACAGTTCTATCTCATCGTCTATTGTTGCAAACCATTTTGGAACCTTCCTCAATACCTCTCGTACTTGTTTCTTCTCAGCTGGTGGTATATGCTGTAAATAAAGGGCCGCAATCAACTTACCTAGATCGCCCTTTTTCTGGAAGAACTAATACGGAATTGGTATTACTCTGGAATGGTTGACATACATTTACAAGGACCATAGTGCCCTCACTAGCCTGGGTTTGTTATCTTGAGAGGTGACGGGCACTAGGCATTCTCGTGGGAATTGGGTGTCCCTATATCTTAGGCCATGCCCAGCAGTTAGGCTTAGGTTCTGTGACTGGTCCTTGGGCCAATCACAGCACCTCCCTTTCCCCATTGTATTACTATTATTTGTATCTAACCTGATTATACAATTCATTAATTGTTGTTTCCAGGGCATCAACTTTTACACACAGCTCAAGACAGTAACACAAATGTGGAGAGAAGCCGATGTTACTCCTACTCAGTCTGCTACAGCAATGCCAGTTATGCGCTGATCACCATGTCGACTCCTCAGATGGGGTTTTGTATGCAGGGTGCTTGGCCACGAAATTTACTAGTTTTCCTGAGTACTGATTGCCTTCATATGCTGAAATGAAGACCATAAATGTTTTTACCAATTTCTATGTATTCTACATTACAAAAACTAAAAAAAAAAGTTTTGTACAAATTTAGCCTGTTCCACAAAATGGCATAGCTTAAATCAATTTCAGTAAAAATCATTGTAACATCAAATGTTTAAAAAAATATATGGTATTTACTCTATAGTGTATGATTACACATGATACCCTAATAAACTGAAAATTTACTTAACTCCAATGGCCTTAATGGGGACAGGAAGTTGTAGTTTCTTAAAGTTCCTCCCGTTATTCTCTAGGATTTTGCTTTAGACTGTTAAATGTCTTCTGAGAAAAAACAAATGGCAGTATTTACATCAGCAAAAGTTCAGAAAAAGTAATAATACAAATTGTGGGGAAATGATGGGGTATAATGCAAAAGTTTAATATTTACTTCAGGATGTCATTTCAATGAATGGGTTTATGAGTCATGGTTTTACATGTTTTTACAATTGTTAAATCTGCATTATATACGGGCAAATGTCGGGTAAAGAATATAAGTTATTACTGTTAAATATGGTATCATTGCCTTGAAATTTATTTAGCCATGTCATGTTGCAGGAGTTTCAAAACATTGTAAAATCACTCGGAATGCCAGTACAATAGAGAAAACTAATGGACGAGTCATGTCAAAGCCAGGTAAGGAACATTAACGTGTGTACACGAGTGCGGTTCAGGTATAAAGCAGTTGGAAGGTGGCAAGAGGGTTGTTAAGGAGCCAGGGAAAGGTCACCAGAAGGGAAGTGAACTATCAGGAGAAAGCTCCAAGCCATTACAACTATATAGTACTAGGAAGGGATCAGGATAAGGATTTGGGATGGGACAGGAGAAGGAATGGTGCCCATCCACTTGAATGGCAGGGGATTGAACACTGACCTGCATAAAGTTAGACCGTCGCTCTACCGTCTAGCCCAAGTGGTTGGACTAAAAAGGTCACAAGAAACATAGGCAGAAGGGTCATAAAGGGGGCTAGTAGGTAGAGGAAGGCTGTGAGGCAAATGGAGATTTAATGGTATTAGTGTGTACAATGTATTCGCCTAACTGTTGTTGGAGATCAGAGCACCTATTAAAGAGGGAGTACTGTGCAACCTATCAAAAATGATAGTCCATGTTGTATATACTATGAACTATACAGAATATTAACTGCTGTACACACAAAGTTAATACAGTAAATTTTAAAAGGGCATAAAAACCAAAAGGCTTAACCATAAACCTATCTTATCCTATTATATCCTATCCTAGCACTCAGTCTTTCATATTAGGCCTATGTAGTTAGTTTTGGATGTTAGTTTACTTCTCAGGGCCTCTTAAAAAAAAAAACAGTGTAAACTTTTGAATGTAACCATATACTGTATGTACAGTTTATCCATAATAGCTACAGCTAATGTAGCTTTGGAAGAGAGGTTCGTGTATGTGTATATGTTCACTTGCTGGGATAGATTAACACGAGCCAATAATTAGTTGTTTTGCATATTGGCATAGTTGTTGGCATCATTTATCACTAGCAAGTTATATAAAATTCACTCGTCAATTCATACAAAATGGTTCTGAATTTAATTAATTTTGTGACCGTTGCAATGAATCTATTATCAACCGAAAATTGCTGCGCTTTGAAGTTTAATGGTGCATTATTATTATTTTTAAACAAAATACACATGCTGATTCAATACACTGTTGGGAAAAGGCAAATCCATGCCTCGGTGAAATGAGGAACGATCTGCACTTCAGGTGGAAGGAGTATTTGGACTGAGGATCTGAATACTGTACTTTTGGATAGATATATTCGTTACAGGTTCTAAAGATTATAGAACCTATGACTAATGGATGTTATGTATGATATATAGTCTGTTGTTCCCAAGAACATTCACATTTTGAATTCTAAAAGAAAATGAAATGACATTACCTGTTCTCATTCTAGGCAAATAATCTAGGCCTAATTTTGTACATATTTACTATCCTAGTACTAAGAAAAGTTAGGGTTGGTCATTTCCACCCTTCTCTACATTCTGTGTACAGAAGATGACAAATTATATTTAAACAATTGTGAACAAAGAATATGCATCTATATTCACGTTCAAGGCTGATCATACAAGAGTCTAAGTAAGTACTGTATTGCCTTTGATGACCAGACCACACACTAGAAAGTGAAGGGACGAAGACGTTTCGGTCCGTCGTGGACCATTCTCAAGTCGATTGTCTTGAGAATGCCTTTGAATGAAATGATGCCTTTGAGTTCTTGGGTGCAGAAGTCTACATCCTCTTCTCACAACTGAGGATCCCAGGTTTGACCCGAGTTGGAGGAACTGTTGGGACATTTAATTTAATTTTTGATGCCTCTGTTTACACAGAAGTAAATCAGGTTCCTGGGATTTATGCAACCCACAATAATTGCCCTCTAGGAAAGGTCATCAGTAGTTTATGATCTAGGGTGACCTCAGTAAGCTTCCTGTCCCCATCTATGGGAAACAATGTTGAACCATACAAGACTGAGACGTGCATCTCTCCGAATTCATGTACCATCACTATGTATTTGTTGAAAACAAGTTAGGATTTGAAAATTTAGTCTCTCACAGTTAATTATTCATCTGTGAGAGTTGAAATAATTCACAGTTATTCCAAATAGCAGCTTGGTTAGATTAATTCATTTGTTATGCACACCATTCCCATCTTGCAAGGAAGAGGAGTGGACAAGGTTACAGAAGCACAAAATGCAACCTGTCTTTTTAAAATTACATCACTTTGTCACATCCTGTAGGTTAGAGAACTGGCGAAAGCCTAGCAGTAGTAATGTCTAGACATCTGTTAATCATATTGTAATGTCCCAGAGATATTTGGCTCTTCCTGCATTGATGGAACAACTTAAGTTTTATTGGTATTCTCTTTGTTACTGCCCTGAGACCACTCAAAAGCAATGCAAGGAGGTAACCAATTATTTAATTCCATATATTTTGCCTAACTTATGAAGTTCAACCATGCATTCTGAGGCCAGTATGGAATTAAATTAAACTACAGATTCCATTATTGACATTATTGAATTTTTAACATACCTGTATGTGTGTGTGTTCAGACAAAGATGTTATACTTATGTGCTTCGTTATGTGCACTCAGACATGACCACAGAGTACTATGGGGTCCCTTTGTCTCGGCACCCACTGAAAAACAGAATTATGATCTCATTATTGAGGACAGGAGGAAACTAGGTTTCCTCCTGTCTAGATTTAGACAGGAGGAAACCTGTCTAAACAGGAAAATCTGTTTTCCTGTTTACTCTAGGGAAAACCTGAAAAAGCCTAAGATTTATTTTCCCCAAGCTGCAAACCATATTAGTTGCCCAACACCTAGGTACCTAATTAGTGCTAGAAAAAAAGAGAGAGGTACAGTATTAGAAAGTGGTCAAATGTCTTCCTGTCTGGGTATCTAGCCAATCTTATTTGTGATATTAGATCACATCATGTCGAGTTACTTTAATTTAACTTGGAAATTGACTTATTCTGAATAAAATGCCCTCACTAAATAATACTGAATTAGTATTTTGGATATATTTTATTTATGCAAAAATAGAGGATTAGATTATATTAGTTACATATGTACAGTATTCAACGGGTGTGGGGTCCACTAACACCCACATGATTGGTGTGGGGTCGACTACCACCCACATTATAGGTATGGTATCCGCTACCACCCACAAGATGAATATGGGGTCTGCAGGATGGGTACACATTCCATAATCACCCACAGGATGGGTATAGAGTCCATTACTACCTGCAGGATTTGTATGGGGTCTGTTACTACATACAGGATGGGTGTGGGGTCCACCACCCAAAGGAGTGTAAGGGGTCCACAATCACCCACAAGATTGTTATGGGGTCGAATATCACCCCACAGGATGGGCATGGGGTCCACAGGATGGGCATGGGGTCCACAGGATGGGTACGGAGTTCTCTACCACCAACAGGATGGGCATGGGGTCCACTACTATGCACAGCATGGGATTGGGGTTCACTACCACCCACAGGATGGGTTTGGGGTTCACTACACCCACAGGATTGGGTTGGGGTGCACTACCACCTACAGGATGGGTTTGGGGTACACTACCACCTACAGGATGGGTTTGGGGTACACTACCACCCACAGGATGGGTTTGGGGTGCACTACTACCATCTGCATGGGTGAAGGGTCAACTACCGCCCACAGGATGGGTATTAGGTCCACTATGGCACTCAGGATGCAACCTGTCTTCAGGATACATTAGTACTTATGTGACATAATGCTCATAGTTGCTATGCTGCTAATGTTCACAGTTTACCTGTGGTAGATTTACAGTTATTACAGCCGCAAGACACCAACCCTTCCTCACGTCCCATAGTACCCGTCCCATCGCCGTGGACACCAGAATAGTCGGTTTAATCAAATTTGAACGATACTTGTGATTTTCCATTCCCTCTTCTGGTGTACTCACCTAGTTGTGCTTGCGGGGGTTGAGCTCTGTTTTTTTTTTGGTCCCGCCTCTCAACTATTAATCAACTGATGTACAGATTCCTGAGCCTACTGGGTTCTATCATATCTACATTTGAAACTGTGTATGGAGTCAGCCTCCACCACATCACTTCCTAATGCATTCATGGAAACTATTTTGACATTGAAAACGTTTGTAACGTCCCTGTGGCTCATTTGGGTACTAGGTTTCCACCTGTGTCCATTTGTTTGTGTCCCGCTCGTGCAAAACAGTTTATTTTTATCTACCCTCTGAGAATTTTATAGGTAGTGATCATGTCTCCCCTAAATCTTCTGTCATCCAGTGTCGTGAGGTTCAGTTCCAGCAATCTTTCCTTGTAGCTCATACCTCTTAGCTCGTGGACTAGCCTGGTTGCATACCTCTAAACCTTTTTAAATTTCGTTTTGCGTTTGATTAGATGTGGACTCCAGGCTGGAGCCGCATATTCCAGTATTGATCTAACATGAGGCATACAAGGTTCTGAATGATTCCTTACACAAGTTTCTGAAGCAGAAATTTGCGTAATATTTCCATCCTATTCGAATATCATGGATCAGCTACATCCTATTGAAGACTCATAGTGTAGTTTTGAGAAACCTTGGTAGTTCTCAGTAAATTATTATAATTATTCTATGAATTTTTATCTAAGTA